CGCGTGTAGATAGGGCTGACCGTGCGTGTGAACGAGGCTGGGTGGAGCTCTGGAAATTGCGAGATACGACCCATACACCTTTGAAACACGGCAGCCCTGCTGTACGCAATCAATCTCATGAGCCTAGACATCGATGGAGTCATCTCATTTGCTGTGGTGCATGTTTGGCAAGTATCTCTTGCGGCAGCAATGCCTCCCTGCTGCTTAATAAGGGCCTGGTACCCAACCAACCAATGTGCTGAAGATGTACGGCATTCATCGTGATTTGCCCCATGCATGCTTGGACTAGTTTTGTAAGGTCTTTCACGCTCGGCACGCGTCCTATAAATCGTGCTTAAGCAGAAGGGAACTCAAGGCTTCTGAGAGATGCTAGCAGTTTTGCCAGGGAACTGTAAGGTGCCGGTGATTGACTCTTAATGTGCTGCGGGTGCGCCACGCTCAAGTTCGTTGGGAGGTGTTTGGTAGAGATCGGGAAGGAGACTTCAGGCAGGGACACCATAGTAGGGTGGAGGGGCTTATAATAGAACACGAGTTTATGCCACCCACATGTAATTCCCCTGCCTGACTTCATCTATCTGTCTGAATTGATCATGCCAATATGCCAAACTTAATGCCGACACACCTCCCTCAACCCTAGCAACTGGCCGTTGTTACAATAACACTATGACCCATGGGTCATCTTCGCAAAACCTTTGTCTCAGACAGAAGCCCTTTCGGCGTGTTATGCGGCAGGTAGCGCACCCGTCTCACCCACAGACTCCGGTACTTCAGACGACCCATCCTCCCGATCATCTTCCAGCCCTCTCCTGGGCAAGTAAGTGTCTACACTCTACAGTATACCGCTTCCATGCAGACACGTATGCTGGTGAAACAGAGGTTGAACACACCTAGCAACCAACTGGTGAAATCGGATAGTTCAAGTGACCCGGCTTTACCCTGCCCCATCCATCCCATGTTTGCTATCAGGTGTATGCATCCCAGGCATGCCACCTGCCGCCTACTAATGCAAGGGTCTTACATTATCAGACATCACACTGTTCATAATCCCAATTATGCAGGGTTGCGGGCAATGCTCTTTCGAGCTGACCAGATCGGGTCAGGGCTGTCTAAATCTACTTGCGCTGCAGCCACAACAGCATCAGCTTGAAGTCCCGGGGCTCGAAGCGCTCGTTCATGATCCTTTCCGCTCGCTCAAACACCTCCGCCACAAGTGCGCCAACATCCATCTTGCCCCCGCCCTGTCGTCTACCCTCATACCCGCCCTGTCGGCCAGTACGTTGATGGCCCTGCTGCTGCTGCTGCATGCGCCGCTGGCTGTGGCTGCGGCTCAGGGCGTTGAGGAAGTGTTGCTCGTGCACCGCCCGCATGGAATCCGCCATCTGCCGTACCGCCTGGCCCCTGCTGAGCCGCCCCGCCTGGTAGGCTGCATGCGCGGGGTGCTGCATGCGCGCCTGCTCCTCGCAACGCAGCGACCACTCGTGCGAGAGGGGGCCGGAGCACAGTAGGCCGCGCACGTCGTCCGGCTGGAAGAAGAAGATGGGGATGGTAAGGTACGGCAGATCTTCTGGATCCAACAGACCCTCCGAAACCATCTCCAACACCGCCGTACTGTGGGCCTGGAAGAGGGCGGGGAAGAGGGCGGGGAATGAGGGGCAGGTCAGGCTTGCAAGAAGAGGGATGATAGGGGCAGCAGATGTAGGTACGGCTGGGAGCTCGGTGGGAGGATAGGCTCCGCGCGATGCGTGCAACGATGCTAGCACAAATTGTTGGCTTAGATACGACGGAGCGTAGCGACCGGAGTTTCTAAGCCTGGTTCTGTGCGACTGTCGTACGACCTAGATCGGGAGGCGAGATGTTTAGGCCTCCGCTCTCCTGGTTCAGGCATTCTGCCTTCACTCAGTTGAGCTTTCAGCCTAGTAGTCACTAGGCCCCGCCCGCCCTCTCCCCTCGTCTTGCTTGTCGTCGGGGAGCGGTCTTCCCGCCCTGGGTTTGCCTGTTAACCCCTCCCTCTGGTGCTCGACCCTCCGTATCTCCCCCCCCTCCGTTTTCCCCGTCTCACCCTCAGGCGGCTCGGCTCAAGGCTAGGTGCTCGCTCCGTCGCAGGCTGTCGGCGGCTCGGGTTTTGTCTTGGGGGTTTCGGTGGTTGCGAGGTTCAGGCTGGGGAGCTGTGTTCGAGGGGTCTTTGGTGGCGGCTGGAGTCTTGGGGGGTCCTGTTCGTCAGCGGCGGGTGGTTGTTTGGGGTTTTCTTCGCTGGCTCTTTTGGGGTTTTTGGCTTTCTGGTGGTCGGCTCCCTAGGTGGTGTTTTGGTGTCGCGTCGCGTTCGCGGTCGTGGCTGCTCGGCTGCCGCCATGGGGGCGGTGTTTGACGAGCAGCCACTGTGTTGCTTGGCTGTTGGCTCCTCTGCAGTGTAATGGCCCTTGGCAGCTGTCCCAAACGTCCCGCTTTTGACACGTTCCGCTTGGCACTAGTCAGTAACCGTTACAGCCTAAACAGAGAGCCTCTCGAGATAGGTAACGGGAGACAGGAGCACAGAAGTGTCGTTATTGCTCAGCGGTGCTTTGTGCCCAGTCCCATGCAATAGCAGAAGCTGTGAAGAGCAGTTACGACAACTGTCGCTTTCGGTTTGCATTCCTGCGGATCATGCCTTATTGCCTTTACGGATTGCGCATGTGCAGTCTAACGGTGGTAACCTACGCTGGCATTGGGGTCAAAGGGCTCATCCCTTCCCGGCGTGTGCGTGAGGAAGTGGCACACCAGCGAGCCGCCCGGCGCCACCTCCGCCGCCCGCAGCTCGAAGAACCGTCGGAGGCCCGCGTTGGCTGCCGTACGGAAGGATTCGTACACCTGGGCGTCTGACGTGGCGAAGGGGTACAACGTGTCCTGGGGCCGGCCCCCCGCGGGCATCTCGCCCAGCCAGTGCAAGCTGGAGAAAGCCATGACTAGGTGCATGCAAGAGGGCGGGAATAGCCTACAGGGCAGGGATACCCAAAGAGCGAGGACCGGTGTAGCTTCTTAGTCGGCAGAGTGGACGTCATGTAGCTTGAAGGAGTACCCGCACTGTTAGAGGCTTAATGACCCATGGGTCAATGCTGGTTAAATGGCCACGCCTTCAACGCACACCCCACCTCTTGTAGAAGCTCCTGCCCACCGCCGCCGCAAACACCTGCAGCCCCGAGCACTCCCCCGGCCCGGGCAGGTACGACTGCTCGCCCTCCACCACTCCGAACAAGCTGCCCCAGTCGTTGCCCGGCAGGTCCACGTGAAACACCTGCACGCCCAGAGGCAGGCGGGCAGCCGCACCACCCGCCTCGCCTGCTCCCGCCGGCGCAGCGACTCGCGACTGCAGCACTTCCAACACCGCTGACACGGGGGCGACGGAGTTGGCGCCCTGGCTGCGGGAGCGGGGACAAGGGAGAAGGAGGGGTAGCGAGCGGGCTACTCAACCTAGAAAGCGTGCCGTACAAGGAGGACGTACGGCACATAGTACACGGCTCCGCGCGGTAAAGCGGCGGTACGAGTATTAATTGCCTGAACGATGGCAAATGGGTTGAGCAGCTTGCACATGCTTTACGTTTAGCATGCATGCAATACTTACAAACCCCTAAACAACATTGCGTCAGCAGTTGGCGCTTACTGCTGCGACAGCAGCCCTCACCTGCACCCCAGATCAGCGATGCGGAAAGCGCTGCCAGGAGCAGTGGGCAGCGGTGCCGTGGCGGCAGCCTGCTGCAGCAGTCCCAAGCACCGCTCGTTGAAGGCCCGCTGACACTCCGAGTGGCGGTTGTAGTAGCCGCCGTGCTTCATGACCGTGCTAGGGTTCCCCATGTTCGTTTGCTGCTGGGGTTGACTGGGTGAGAAAACGTTAAAAAACGGCAGCTGGAAAACTAGGTAGCAGACTAAGTTATGTGCAACAGCTTGTTGGAATAAGGCTTCACTTCAAACGCGCACAGTGACCCGTGGTTCGGCGCTTTCCCTGTCGCACAAGAGCAATCCTTGTTTGGTTCTGTATGGTAACGTGCAAGCCTACGTAACAAGTATTGCTTACTTGGCAGCACGGCGAGGTTACGGATTGGTATGCCGTAACAAGCTGTGCCATTACGTTGGGTTACGCGTCTTTACGCTCATCTTTACGACGGCAGGATCCTTTACTAAGTCCTGTGGGCATAAAAGGTGTATCAAAAGGAAGCCAAAGACCGTTAAGGAATACCACTCAAGGCTTGAAATCTGATGTCCTCAGCCCTTGGTCAGCCGAACCTACTTCCAATTTGTGAGAAGCGGCGAAGCAGCTCGACAAGTGGCTTTAGCGCGCAGCTCCGCTGCACGCAAGAGCTAAGCATATACCATAATTACCCAAATGCTGCATTTTGATGGGCATGACACGCATGCTGAGAGGTGGGAGGCGAGGCTGCGTGGGGAAGAGACATACATGGGTTGTTGTTGCTGGGCCGTTTCGACACACGATGGTGCACGTTGATGGTGACTGTTTGGCTTGGCTAGCATTGGCGCTCACGTGCGCTGCACGTGCAGCGCGGAGAGGTACAGTCTCAGGCTAAGGCGAAGGTATCCAGAGGATATGAGAGAGCTAGAAAGGTACTTATTCCTTGGGTGTGATTATCTCGGTGGGAAGAAAACGAAGGGTCTTGAGGGTGATTGCCCTGACTGGCAGCCAACGGAGGGCGTATGTATACCCAGTCAATCCGGTATTCCAATTTTTTGGTTTCATGTTTTGAACTACTGGAGTTTTCACAGCGTAGTGTAATGGACTCTTTGACTCGCGAAGCTGCTAGAGAAGCGATTAACGAGGCAGAGGTGCAATGAAAAAATGGAATAGCATACCGGAAATGTAACACTCACTGCTGTTGGTGCTTTGCTAAACTTACTGCGCAAGCAGTTCGTAAGTCGACCTAGACTTGACGGACTAGGGCAGGTGGACCGTTACTGGGAGTTAATGCCTGTCGGACGTATGTGGCCGGATTGTCCTTTCCTTGATGCAGGACGCCGTAACGCGAAGCAAGGGCCGCAAGCGCTGTTTCGTATATACGAACGCAATGTCCAACTGCTCGCTTTGTAGCTAGTCGCCTTCAAGGCTAACCGAAGGAGACAGCGCAGCCGCAAGCGCTAATGCATACCATGAATGTGGCTTTTACTCAGCTTCTTTTGTTTCTTCTTTTGGTTGGCTGTAGCTGCTCGCCAGATCCAGGCCCCAAAGCTCTGTTGACTAAAGTGTTTGGACATAGCCAGCTCTTCATCAGCACAGAAGATGACAACTTAGACACATTAGACAACTTAAGCTTACTGTTGCGAGTCGTTAATGAAGCACGACCGCGCAATGCGCCTGGATTCCAGTTCGGCGCTGGCCGCTTTTGCCGGGGGCAAATCACAGCATATCCAACGCTGGACGAGTCCAACATAGAAGCTTGGTTTCAACACGCAAGTGCATTCCTAGATGCGCATGCCAACGGGACATGGACGGTGTTCCCATTAAACCATTCCGAACCCGTGCAAGTACCCCGCACGGCCGTAAGTGCTGTACCGGTGGTAAGGAGGTTCCTCCTGGCTCAGCTGGCAGTGGCGTGGCTGACCACCCTGCAGCGGCAGCTACCCGCCAGGCTGGAGCCCCACCTTGCTCGCTTGGTGCAGCAATTGTACGACATCCACCGAGACTCTGTCGTACAACGTGGCGTTTTGGAGTACTTCCACATCTCCAAGTCAGGTGGCACCAGCTGGAATGCGGCTGCAGGTGAGCTGCTGTGCACCCTTTTGCCGCCGTGCTTTTACCCTAGCAAGTGCACATACAATCCCTGCGTCGTCCTGTCCCGCCCTTGCCCTGCCCCGTCCGTTCCATCCTCGTGCACTCACCCTCCTCCTCCCTCGCCCCTCCTCCCACCCACCCCCTCCCAGCCTCCAATGGCTGCGTGCTACCCCGCACGCTGGGTCAACATGTGCGGGGTTTCGGAGACGAGTGTCGCTGGATGAACCGAACAGTGTACCGGCAGGTGTCACAGGGGCATGCCGTACTGTGAGTGGGTGACGGGCTGTGAAGGGGCGGGGTGTGGGGTGCAAAGCGGGCTGGGAGGTATGGGACATGTCGGGCAGGACGTGGGGGGGGCGTAACCAGGAAAGGAACGTGGGCAGGGATGGGATTGGCAGGGCGGGGGGTACACAGCGAGCAGCGCGGCGTGTGTGCTTTGCCATGCGGGTTGCATTGCTTTGCGTTTGGGTTTGTGCTTGTTTTCTTAACACACACATGCGCACATAACACACATGCCACATGCCGCTCCCTCCTCCCTGCTCCACCCCACCCCGCCCCACCGCATGAGTCGGGATATGGGACTGGGACTTTAGTTGTTTGCATTTCTTATATAATTTTCTGCCCCACCCCCCACCCCCCGCCACAGGTGGGCCCGCTGGGGTCAGGTGGCTCGCCCCCCTGGCGGCAGCGGCTGCCGGCAGCGCTTCTCCCGGGTGGTGTCGGAGGGGCTGAGCTACTTCTCCAACGAGTACACACTGCAGGGCGGGCTGGGAGCCGCAGCAGGGGGAGGGGATGGAGGGGCAGGAGGTGGAGGTGGGGAGGTGGGGGTGGGGGTGGGCGCGGCGCACCCCTGCCCGGAGGCGGTCAACGTGGTGACACTCAGGTGGGTGGGTGGGTGGGTGGATGCGGAGGGAGGGAGGGAGGGAGGGGGGTGGTAAGGAAGCTGGCCGCCAGTCGGAACGTGTGTGTGCGAGGCGTGTGTGATCAGCTGAACCGCGTAGTGGTACTGAGCACAGCCGTCCACGCGTTCAGAAAACTGACCGCCAGTCGGAGCTCATGTGTGTGAAAATAACTGGCTCATGTGTATGTGTGTTGTGTGTGTGTGTGTTGTGTGTTGCCTCTGTGTGTGTGCAGCGAGGGTGGGACGGCAGACGGTAAGGAGGCGGAGGGTAAAGGGGCGGAGGGACTTATAGGGAGAATGAAAGCACCGCGGCGTGCAGCGAGCAGGCGGCAGGTAGGGGCGTGCTCGGGCCGGACATGATCACATGAAGCTAGCCACGCCGCCCCTCTGCCTGCCCTCCCGCACCCTTCTTACCTCCACCCCCCTCCACCCTTCTTACCTCCACACCCCCTCCACCCTTCTTATCTCCACCCCCCCCCCCAGGGAGCCGCTGGGCCGCATGGAGTCGGCGCTGCGCTTCATCATGGCCTTCGTGCGGGGCTGGTGGAAGCGACGTGACCCGCTGGTCGGCGGGAAGCAGTTCGATGAGGTCTTTTGCAACACCAACATCTCCTTTTGGGAGGCACTGACGCCGCCCATTGTCGACAACTACATCGTCAGGTGTGTGTGTTTCTAATAACTGGTCGCGAGGCGAAACGTACTGTGTGCTCTGTGTGCTGCGCTGCTTTGCTTATCTTTGAAAAAACAATCGGCTCATGCTTCTTGTTGGTTGCTGGTTGGAACTGAGGTTGCACTCATGCCGAGGTAGGAGTTTGGGGTTGGGGTTGGAGTTGGGTTGCATCCATCCATGTTTTACATTCCCAACCCGTCCTGGGGACCCTGGCCAACTAACGCAGCACTACCGTAGTACTATTCGCTCCAAAGCTGTTCGCACCCAAAACGAAGCCCATCACCCTCACGCCTTCCCTCCCCTCCCTCCTCCCTCCCTCCAACGATTCGGTAAGTAATTTGAGATGCGTGTTATTAGTGCTTCCGAATGCGCTCACTGCATGAGTCGGGATATGGGATTGGGATTTGTTGTTTCACTTTTATATAATTTTTTCCCCTCCCTCCTCCTCACCTCCCCCCCCTCCCGCAGGTCCTTCCTGGGTGAAGCTGGCTTCCACACCCCGCTGGGCTCCCTCACCCCCGCCCACCTGGCCTCCGCCCGCCGGCAGCTGCTGCAGTGGGACCTGGTGCTGGACCTCGGGGCGGGGGTGGCGGCCAGTGACGGCATGGCGGCAACGGGGCTGGGCTGGCCGGCAGCTTGGTCGAGGGGAGAGGTGGGGAGGGCTGGGTGGGGAGGGCTGGGTGGGGAGGGAGAGGAGGTAGGTGGTTGGCCCCCGACAGCAGGTACCGCCACGGCACCTCTGTGACCAACCTTGCAACACACAACACGCGACCCGGGGTGCCGCAGGTTGACGTTCCGTTCATACTGCTGGGTTTCCATCCCCAACCAACACAAACACACGCGCCTTCCATGGCGTTTGAGGCTCTCAGCTGATTCAACACCCCTTTATATTTGCTAACAGACAAACACTCACAGTAGCCAACGCGCATGCATGCACGCGCGCATCCCAGTACGTTCCTACTCGCGGCCAGTTTTCTTAACACACGCGTGCCTGCATGTGCGTGTAGGACCACCGGCTCAACAGCACCCGTATCTCGGAGCACTTCAACTTCAATTATGAGGGCTGCCGCCTGTCGGATGCGGACTGGCAGGAGCTGGCGCGGCGGCAGGGGCTGGATGTGCAGCTGTACCGGTGGGGGGGTGTGTGGAAGTGGGCGGGAAGGAAGGGAACAACGGCAGTATGAAGGGGGTGTGGGAGGGGGCAAGAAGGGAGGGCGTGGCGGAGAAGGGGAGAGGGAGGGGCCAAGAACACGGGCCGTATGAGGGGGGAAGAGTGGGAAGGAAGGAGGTTGGGAGGGCGGGTGCGGCGGAGCAGGGAAGGGCGCGGCGGCAAGAAGGGAGACAGGACCTCCGAGAGGTGGCTGTGTGCTGTCTGGTTTGGGCCGCTTGTTGAGCCGCTTGCATGAGGAAGGTGGCTGCTTCCCCGTCGCGTCCCCCTCTCCAACTCTCCTTTGCCACGCCAGCACACACCACTGCCACTGCCGCCACGCATCAGCACCTGGTCACCACCACCTGCCCCCACCTGCATTGCCCAGAGCAGTGCTATACAGCCCAACAATACCCTCACCGCCTCACCCTCACCCCCTTACCCACCCACATCTTCACCCCTCTCCCACCACCCCCTCCTGCTCCTCAGGTTCGGTCGGGTGCTCAACCGGCTTGACGCCTTGTGGCTGGACATGGCTCGGGCCCTGGGGCTGCAGCCGCACCTGCCTCCGCCGCTGGCAGATGGCGAGCAGCAGCAGCAGGGGCCGCTGCAGGGGCTGTTGCAAACAACAGCAGCGGCAGCAGTGGACGGAGGTGCAGCAGCCCATGCAGCAGCCCAAGCAGCAGCGGCACCGCCTCCACCACGCCCCGCGAATGCAACACGGTGAGCGCCGTACGTGGGTTACGGTAGTTTCACACGTCGCCGCATCCAACCCCTGGCGCCCTTAGTCCCTACCTCTTTCCCTCCCCCATGTCGCGACCCTCTTCCTCTCCCGTCGGGCCTTCCTTCCACTCCCATCCACCCCCCTGCCCCTCTCCCCTGTCACCCACCCTCCCCTGTCACCTCCACCCCCATGCCACACCCTCCCCTGTCACCTCCACCCCCATGCCACACCCACCCCTGCAGGTGCGGCATGCTGTGGCGAGGTAGCAACGGCAGTGTGCTGGCGCGGGCGCTGGGGCTGACGTCAGCCGCCGCCGCGCCCTCCTTGGAGTCCTCCTCACCGTCTTAAACCTCTTGCCAACAACCTGAAATCAGCAGAACACCACCCCCCACAACCATCACAGGGTTGGTGATGGTTAATAACACTCAAGGCGGCGGCCAGGCCCGAGTAGCAGCAAGGGGCTGGAAAAGGGGCTGTGCAGGCATTGACTGGTAATACGCAATGTGACAAAAGACTTCATGGGAATGTAGATTTTCATGGATTGAGTGATTTTGTGGCCGCAGCGGCCATGGGCCGTTTACAGCTTAGGAAACCCCGGGGATGTACATACCGTATGGTATGTAGCCGGGAATCACTGCGATACAGCTCCTGACAACATTATATGAATTGTGGTGGCAGGATGATGTCATTAGTCCAATAACCGGGCCTACACCTTTTCCAACGTCCTCTAGATGTGTAGTGTGCGTCCTGCAACGATGCCGGTCGCGTCATGCTATCAGGTGAGCTACCTGGGCGTGTGCCAAGTACGTTATAGTTGAGGCTAAGAAGGGATTTATTTAAAAAGATTGACGAGCAAAACAAAGGGCTTCCAGGTAGGCATGGATTGGCGAATGGCAGCACGGTGTTTCGTGCCCCCTGCAGTAGCGTATGCTGTGTGCGGCATGCGGGGGCCATCGCAAAACCGTCGCTCTCGCTCGCTTTATTATGGGCGCGTCTAGTCGGCCTACTAATTTATCTGTCAAAGTTTGCCGGCCAGGTTAGGCTGTCCATGTTTAATCTGTGCGCGCTTCACTTATCTCCTTGCAATGTTGGCTTGTTGAGTACTGCAATGTTGTTTATTTAGTTCTGCCGTGCATGCAATAAACGTAGTGCATTTTTTGCGTTTGAAAGCAATGCGGGTGATGCGAATTGCGCCGTACAGCTTGTAGGTTAGCGGAGAGCACACTGACCCGTGGGTCTGCAATTGACTGGCTGGTGCACGTGCGATGGTCTGGTCATGCATGTATTAGGAATTGGAAGCGCAGCGTAAACAGCGTTTCTGTAAAGATTGTGTGGCATGGGAGTATATTACGTGTGCAATATATGAGGTCGATGCCGGTATGTACCGGTAACCTGCATACATGTAACCCCACCATGTAACCTACTACCGTTACTCTCTGTTTGAAGCGGTTTAGCAACCATAGGAGCAGATAGGAGGATGCAAAAAGTGACCGAGGAAATGGGGTCACGTTGAATAAAAGACCTGCTGTAAACCACACCATCTCAATGGGACAAACCGCATTCACGCAAGCACAGCAAAAGCGAGTTCACTTTCCCCCTAAGCACCGAAGTAACCGAATGTATTACCTAATCATTCGTCCCATCCAGCACGCGTACTCGCCACACCTCGAGGACATGTGACGAGCGAGGTGCAGCCTCCTCCTGCCACCTCCTACCACCCACCCACTGCTGTCAACACCTTCGGACGCACCAACCAACCCCTCCCCAAACAACGCACCCCTCACAGCCCACCCCTGCGGCCCTGCCCCGTTCCCTCCCAGCCCTACTTCTTCCTGACTGCTCCCCGCTACTGCCGCTCGCTGACTGCTCCCCGCTACTGTCGCTCGGAAGTGATAGCAGTGGCAGCAGCGGTGTCGCTGCCGCGCTTGGTCGCCATCAGCGCCGCCCACTGCTGCTCCACCTGCATGGAGAAGTCCCCGAACTGCGGCGAGTAGGCCGCTATCACCTCGGGCGCTTGCTCCGCCAGGATGCCCGACAGCAGCAGCCGCCCGCCGGGCCGCACGTAGCTGCGGGGGATAAGAAGAGGGAGGTTTTCCTTCGTGAAGAGTGTGGTGGGGTGCATGGAGTGCAGAGGGGAGGAGGGGAGAGGAAGGGGCTGTGCTGGGTGTGGAAGGAAGTGGGTGGCGCTGAGGGAGCGACGAGAGCAGGGAAGGGAAGCACCCTCCGCCCCGCTCACCCGGACAGCCGCGGCTGCAGCTCCACCAGTGGGCCCCGCAGTATGTTGGCGACCACCAGGTCGAACTGCTGCAGGTCGTCACCACCCGCCGCCGCCAACGTCGCCGCTAACGTCGCATCATCAACGACGACGGCGGCGCCGCCGCTGACGGTTCCCGTCGCCGCCGCCGCCACTGCCGCCGTCGCCGCAGTAGCGGCAGCGGCCGTCACGCCGCCTACGACGGCGGCGGCTGCGCCGCCGCCGGCTGCTGCCACCACCCCGGCGGCCGCCGCTACCGCCGCCGCACCGCCAGCCGCCGCTGCGGCACCTCCGCCGCCTGCTGCTGCAGCGGCTGCCGCTGCCAGGGGTTCCGGGTCGTGTATTCCGCCTCCGCATTGGAATACGGTGAAGGTGGGCGGTTGGAAACCGTTGAGGGCGCCGTTGCGTTGTGCCGCCTTAACTGCCAACGAGTCAATATCGGTTCCCACCGCTCGTGCCGCTCCGTACTTGAGTGCCGCAATGGCCAGCACGCCCGAGCCGGTGCCGTAGTCGCACACCGCCGCCCCCGCCAGCCCGCCCCCTGCCGCCAGCTGGCGTAGGGCCAGCAGGCACAGCCGGGTGGTGGGGTGCTCGCCTGGGGAGGGGGGGCGGGAGGGGGGGGAGGGGGGCGGGAGGGGTTGGATATATGGGTAAAGGAGGTCGGGAGGGAAAGAAGTGTGATATCCAATGTGTGGTGTGATAGTGGTAAACTAGCTGACAAGCCCTGTTGGTTGGGAGGGAGGAAAGGCCTGATAAAGGCATGACAGGGGAGGGTGTCGGGTGTACGGTGGGGGAACAGGCGGGGTGGGTCAGAGCAGGGGGTTGGACAGGTCAGGTCAGGGTGGTGGGTCGGGATATGCACTGTGGGTGCAGCAGTGCTGCGGCGGCTGCTGCAGGCACCTCACACAGCGCTGCGCTGCCCCCTCCGCCGGGCCCGCACCGAGGGCGGGCAGGAGAGGTGTGGGACCGGCCCACCACCACCGGACGGCACCACTACCGGACCTGAAGGGTGCTTTAGCAAGAAGCCAGGGAGGCTCCCAGGGTCCGGAGGCACAAGGCACCCAACCGCCACCTCATGTTGCGCACCCCCCACCCATGCAGCAGCATGTGTCCCTCCTCTCCCTCCTCCCCACCCACCCACCCGTTCCAAACGCCACTCCGGGTTGAAGCAGGATGTTCACCACTCCCTGTCCATGCTGCGCCTCCTGCTGCCCCTCCTCCCCATGCTGCTCCTCCCCCTCCCCCTCATCCCCCTCCTCCCCCTCCAGCGAGCCCCACTCTGGCGTGATCCACAGGTCCTCCGCCAACTGCAGCGGCACGTAGCTGGCCTTGATCTGCTCCACCCACCCCGCGTTGGCAACCGGCTCTATGCGGTAAGTCAGCACACCGCCGTCACCACCAGCAGCAACTGACACCTCCTCCTCCTCCTCCTCTTCAGTAGCAGCAGCGGCGGCAGCCTCACCCTGCGAGCCGACGGCGCCCACAGCGCTTGCCGTCACCCCATGCTGCTGGTCGGGTAGCTGCTGGTGCGGTTGTTGTTGCGGGGGGTCCGAGGGTTGGGGCGGAGGCAGCCCCACCGCGACCGCGGCCAGCGCCAGAGTGCCCTCCACGTCCGCCTGAACGGGAGGAGCAAATGAGGGCGGGAGGTGGGGGCGGGAGATGAGAGATGGCGGGGGCCTTTTGTGGTGGCGCCTAGCTGGCAGTGGCAGTGGCAGTGGCACACGATTGGCGGCAAGCAGCACTTGCACAGTTGGTGGCCTGCAGCCTAGCTAGGGATGAGGGTGGAGGTGTGGGCGGGTGAGGTTGGGAGAGGAGGTCGGGAAGGCGGGGAGGGGCGGGTGCACTGCCTGTCTGCTATCTGCCTGCCCCCTCACCTCCAGCGGGAAGTGCGCAATGAGGTCGCAGCGGTCCCACAGCGCGGTGCCGCCCTCGCAGCCGTCCTCGTAGATGGGCTGCTCGGGGGCACCGGGGGGGCGGTGCTCCTGCACGCTGCAGCCGGGTGGGGGGGGGGGGGGGGGGAGGGGGCTGGTGTACGGCAGTGGGGATGTTTAGCAGTACGAGGCAGGGACCTGGGTTGGGCATGTCGCATAGCATGGATGAGCATGAGGATGCTTGATTGACTTACACAACGGACTGAGCTCCCATGGCGAGAAGTACGTCACCGAGCTCCTCTGCTAAGTCGCCGCTGATAGCGCCGAGGGTGCAACGGAGGCAGGTCGCTTCGATTTCAGCCGGCGGTGGAGAGGATGTTTGAATGGCTGGTGATGTAGAGCATGAGCGTGCAACAGTAGTCGGAGCGGCTGGTGAGGAAAAGCAGCCAAATCGCAGTTTGGGCAGGCTTTCCGACACACGCCTGTAGGCAGCAGTCGTAAACGAGGGTTTGGTCAACGTCGACGGCTGGCGTAGCGGCATGCCACATTGGGACGGGGTCCGAAAGGGCATGGAGCAACACCTTTAGTAGGAACTTACTGTCTATAAACATGAGACGAACTGTGCAGCAATTTTCGACAAGAATTTGTGGATACGGTGCGCCAAGCACCGAAAGAAGATTTGGGGCCATGCGCCGTCGCGCAGCTCCGAACCAAACTACTGTTCTTAAGTTGCATTTCTGTGTCCTCAGAACGTAGGTTTTGAAGTAGGTTCAACTCAATTAGACTTCCGAGACGGGTACACCGAGCGCGTGCAGTTCCAAGAACTGCCGCTGCCTGTGCCACAGCAAGCATGTATTACGTTGTGACAGCAAAGCACATTAACAATTACGAAGGAAGGCATATAACACGTCAGCTGCAATTGGGGACGCTATTTGCGTTCGTACGGCCGGCTGTGCACGGGCAGCACACGTCGCAGCATGAGTCAAGCTGCGTGACGTGCTGTGATTGGTCCTTTATGCCACAAGAGAGCTCACGCTGCGGCAAATTAAAATGAAATCCGAGCTTTTGTTACAAAAAAATCCCTTTGCAGCATCACCGCTGGATGGGCATTGCCGCATTGCTGCCGTACAAGCCAGCTGTACAGCTACGGCGAACCACGCACACATATGGCTCCGCGCGCACGCATAACGTTTTAACACTGAATGCATTGCATGTTGCCAAAATACACTATGTAAACGTCGCAATTCAGCTTTCTACATCGTGTCACTATACATACACGGTCTACATCCATCCCTGCTGGGCGAAGCGCACAAGCCAGACCCCCCAAACCGCTTTTCACCAAACTTCGGTCCGACTCCAGGCATTAATGCAGCGCGCGGTGCCCTGTGTCATATCGGTCCTGGTGCCCTGTGTTGTCGTCATCTTCCTGTCTAAACGCGGCGTGTACGAAACCTCCCGCAGCGCCTGGCAGCACAGCCCCCACAGCTCCATCCGCCCCAAGTACCGCTGTGCTCCAGACCATGCAACAGCTCCCCCTTCTCCCCTAGCAGCGCCTCACCGTTCACCCAGCCCCTCCTCCTTCTCCTCCTCCTCCTCCACCGCACCCTACTCCTGCCCGCACCTGCCTCACACCTCCTACCTCCCATCTGCTGCCTCAACCCCCCTGCCCTCCTCACCCCTCCTAACCCGCCCTCCTGGCACCCGCCTCCTACGCCTCTTCAAGGCACCTCCTGCCCTGCCCCCTACACCTCCTGCAGCGCCATCGCCACCTCCCCCTCCACCATGTACGGCTTCACGTCCGCCCGCAGCCGCCGCAGCGCCGGATGCTGCAGCGCGTCGGCCAGCGCACGAGCCCCGCCGGGGCCCATGTGGTTGCCCCACACCAGGAACAGCTGCGGGGGCGGGGGCGGGGGCGGGGGCGGGAGAGAGGGGAAAAAATTAAATAAGTGAAACAAGGGGAGGAAGGGGAGGGACGGGGGGACAACAAGAGGTGACAAGCTAGGGTACGGGAGGAGGGGCAGGGAAAAGGGGACCAGGGACAGGGGGTTGGGGTTTGGGAGGGAAGAGCAAGGGCCCCTCGGGGCTGCAGCAGCGTACGCAGCAGCCACAGCGCCCCGGCCCCACCAGAGCAGCCTACACACAGTCAGTGCCCCTTTTAGACAACGCTACTTCTCAGTGCGGTTCAGCTGACCGCTGCAGCCCCAGCTCAGCGCCTGCTCGACCACTCACGCCGGTTGTGTTGTTTTGTTTACTGCATTTAGCATTCATACTGTCTTGTGCTTGCTTTTCGTCCTGTCTCGCATGCCATCCTGTTTTGCCGTACATATTGCACTTCGATATAGGTTCACTTTGTCTCTAACTCTGTCCCCTTTTCCTCGCTCTGGTTCATGTTTGGCATGGCACTCGCATTACTGCGGCTGCTGGTCCTGGTGCTGACTACGGCGTCTTTGCTCGCAGGTACGCCATGCGCGTTTGCACGCACGCACGCACAGCATTGTGGTGTCTCGTCCGCGTGACCAGAGCGGGGGCTCCCGGCGTCGAGTTTGGTCAGCGGGCTTTAGTTCTCGGTAGTATTTTAGTTTTTCCGACACCATCAGCATCACCGACATGCGTCGTCACTCGTCACCTGCCACTCTTCTTACATCCAGCAACAGCCATTTAAGCAGTTTCTTGAATTATGGTTCAGGTTCGGTCACCTCTGTTTTGTCTGTTTTTTGCCTGTACTCGCGGTTCACATGCGAACCTCTCCCAATTGCTTGCTCTTGTCCTACTCAACTACACAGTCAGTGCCCCACACCTCCCAACTAACGTATGTCCCGCACTCCCGTTCCGTACCCCTCCTCCTCCACACACCACCCCTCACATCCTCCGCCCTACCCTCACCACCCCGCCCAGCGCTCCCCCCCCCCGCTTCCACCTCCTCCTCTGCAACCTCACCTGCAGCGTGTGCAGCAGCGGCAGCGCCCCCGCCAGCGCAATGAGCCCCACGTCCCCGATGCCGTTCCCCCGCACGTCCAGCTCCCGCAGCGCCGCACAGCTGCGCGGCAGGCAGCGCGCCAGGCTGACCGCGCCTTCGTTGCCCAGCGCGTTGGCCGACAGGTTGAGGCGCTGCAGCCGGGGGCAGCCGGACAGCAGCCGCTCCAGGGTGGGACCTGAAGGCGGGGAGGAGGAGGAGGAGGAGAAGAGGGAAGGGGAAGTGACCCATGGGTCAGGGAACTGGCCATCAACCCCAAGTCCCAACCCCGACTCATTCTCCGACCATTCTAGCTTTTCTTCTCCCGTACACACCACGTCTTCCCACTCCCCAACAGCCCTCCCTTAACCTCCCCCGACCTCCCTCCCACCAGACCACCGTCCGCACCCGCAAACGGCGACAGCCTGTTCCCCCTCAGCGACAGCCCGCTCCACTCGCCCCTGCTCCTGCTGAAGCCCTGCGCCACCAGCAGCTCCAGCTGGCTGTCCACCATGCGGTGCTTGGCCAGCGAGAGGTCGGTGAGGGAGGGCGAGGCGGCCAGCATGCGGGAGAGGTGCTGGTAGGTGCTGTCCTGGGGGGCCTGGGGAGCAGAGGGAGCAGAGGAGGGGGGGAGCGGGTGGAGGGGGAGAAACAATGAATGATAAGTGCAGCAACGGAGTCCCAATCCCGAGGGAGGGGAACGGGGAGAGGCCGGCGGCACGGGATCCCGGTGAATTGGGGTTTGCAAGGGAGTTGAGGGGGGAGCTGCAAGTGATGCCGGCTGTGCGGGGGGGGGGGGTGCGCGGGGGTTGGAGGCTGCATGGCTGCCAGCCATGTCTGGAGCTCTGGACCCCTCCCCTCCCCATCAACCTTCTTATAATTTTTTCTCCCCATCAACCTTCCTGCGAGGTACCCCACCATCAAAACCAATAACCCCAGCACCACCACTCGCATTTCATCCTGAACGGCCGTTTAAGCTCTCTCCGCCCACCACCCCCCACCACCCCCCCACACGCCCAGCCCCACCTGCAGCACCGCATCCTCCAAGTCCAGGATCTGGGAGCGGCAGGGTGGAGCGGCACGTAGGGAGAGGAAGGGGGAGGGTTATGGAGGGTGTTGGATGGGTACAGCATGCATACGCGGCTCCTCTTAAAGAGGCCTCAACGAACATCGAGGGGCCGCGGGGCCCTGTCAGGGAGGCGGCAAGAGAGGCCGTGAGCAGGTGTGCCGCACGCACCCAGGGCTCCCTCCACCACACCTGCTACCGGTACCCGCCCCTGCTCCGTCCTAGCGGCTGCGCTCGCCTTCTCCATGCTTGCAGGGATTGGCTAGGGATCGATCGGGAACAGCTTTGCGGCGTATCCAAACCCACCCCCAACCCTCACCACCACCACCCGCTGTTAGTGTTTCATCGAGGCTCACACAGTTGCCTTACCCCACATCCGCCTCCCCCTCCTACCGCCTACACGCACCTTGAGTGTGTTGTTGGCCTCCATGAGCGCGTTCGCGACGCCGATGAGCCCCTGAATGCCGCAGTGCGTGTCCGCCATGTCGAGCAGCGTGAGCGACGTGTTCACCCTAACATGGGGGGTGGGGAGGGGGTGAGGGGGGTGGGAGGAAGCCCCAGGAGGGTTGGGAAGAGAGTGGGGGAGACAGGGTTTGGAGAATGCAGACACAAGAAGCTGGGCCAGAGGGCGGGCGGTGGACGTGGCAGCCAACCATGTGGTGGGGGGCCGTTGTCAGCCGGCAAGCAGCAGCCAGGCGGCACCCTCCCCCCCTGCGTCCCCCCCCCCTCTTCACCAACACTTTGTCTTGTGGCACCCTGCCGACTCCTACCCCCATTGCTTTGCCCTAACTTGTGGTCTCCTATGGTTTGGTATGGTCTTTGAACCCCCTTCCCCCCCTCACCTCAGCATGTCAGCCAGCTCCAGCGCCCCCGAGTCGCCCAGCGGGTTGTTGCGCAGCACGAGCGCCTGCAGAGGGGGTGTCGAGGGATGGGGGGCAGGGGCAGGGCGGGTGTCGAGGGAGGGGGGGCAGGGGCACGGGAAGGGGCAGGGGCAAGAGGGGAAACGTCGGGAGAGTGGGTCGTAGAGCGGGGAGAGGGAGGCAAGGTCGGCAGCAGGCTGTTCGTATTGAGGGAAGCACCATGCTCGTAACCTGTTTGCCGCCCATTGATGCTACCCCATTGTTAATCCCTCCACTCCCTCCCACCTCCACATTGGGTGTTCTACTTGTCCCACCTCCCTCTTACCCAAGTCCCCCCCCTCCCCGCCTCCCTCCCTCCCACCTGCAGTCCGCAGTCCGGCGCCGACAGCACCCCCACCAGCGCATGCGCGCCCTCCTCCGTCACCTGGTTGCCCGTAAGGTCCAGCATGCGGAGACTGCGGTTGGACTGGGGGGGGGGAGGGGGTTGAAGGGAAAGTGAGGCACCTGGGTCCCATTGTGCCCGTTGCCGGGCGGAAAGCGAAACATGTGGAGCCCCTGAACCGCGTGTGCGTGCATGCACCCATGCATGGCCCCCTGACACCTAGGTCCCGCCTGCTCAACAGCAACCGCTCACAGCCCTCACACACACACACACACACCTGTATGAGCCGTGCAATGGCCTGTACGGCCATGTTGTTGAGGAAGTTGTACTGCAAGCGCAGTACGGTGAGGGTGCTGTAGTCGTACAGGAATTCGCAGAGTGAAAACACCTGCGTGGGTTGTGTGTGGAGGGGTGGGTTGGGGTTGGGGTTAGGCGGGAGTGGCGGAGGTTGAGGCAAATATTGTGGTAGTTGCCAATGCATGTGGATGGCCGCATGTGGGTGGCTGGGAGGTGCAGAGTGAAAGAGGGTTTGCATTGGACTGAGGGAGGGCGTCGGGGTTTGGTGACATCTATGCGGGCCAACAATCCTGGCAGGGCACGGCAAGGCCATCTATCTACGTTTGCTGCGCGCGATCACCTGCAGGGGGTTGATGCGGTTGTTGAAGAGCTCTTTACTGTTGCCGTCGAGGGCAACGACGTCGAGCGTTCGCCTGCACAAGCCAAACCGCCAGACATGTTCCCTTAAAGCTCGGAGGTTCGTGCAGTGTTTCCAGATATTCTCTTCAAGTGAACTTTACTACGATGGCGACGTCACCGCCTTCCTTACCCCGCGTCCAGCGCCTCTAAGATTGGAAAAATCGGAGGGCACGCAAAGTCGCTGCATTTTTGTAAGTACTGTTCACGTAATTCTGTGTTGGACGTCATGGCTTCCTCCTACAGTGTTATTATATTCAGGGTATTATCGGGGCGGGCCCCAAACTGAGGAGGTGTTTTCAGCGCATTGCTTCACGTTTATGATACTAGCGCAATTGTGCAATAGGCCCAGTGCTTGAGTCTAAATTAGAACTTATATTAAAAGTGATCGGGGAATGTCGTTCTTCATCATCACCCGTGGCCTGTCCATGCCGCATGATACTAGTACCTAGCTTTGTTCGACGTCAACTAGGTACTAGAAATGACCATACATATCCACTCTTGCTGGCTATTGTTGAAGGGTTTGGACCCGGTCCCTCACGTAGATGGCGCTGGAATTTTGGCCGCAATTGCAAGCCGTAAACAGTAGATATTGCGCCTTATTGTTTCTCTCTTATCCGCTCTACTGAAGCCTGGGCAAACGGCGCCAGGGGCAACCAGTGTGGCCCTGGCAGGCTGAGATGCACATAGCAAATGCCCGGTGATCCAGCCTTGGAGCAGTCGGGAGCTATCGGAAGTAAAAGACGGCGCTTAAGCGCTGATGATGGCGACGGGCCGGCTGCAAAGAAGTCCTACTCTGACGCCGAAATAGCCGCTGAACTTGCCCACGGTCTGCACATCAAGGAGCAAAGACGCGCAGAGGTCCGAGCCCTCTACCTAAACTATGGAACTCTCCTCAAAGGCAGCGAGACTGCAAGCGAGGCCCTGGCCTTCCAGGGGCTGCTTCAATGCGGAAATGGTAAGGGGGCCTGCCGTCGCAAGGAGGCTGCACAGCGGCTTGCACCGCTGCACCATCCCTTGTGGCATGGTTCATTCCTCTAAGGCCTAAAGCATTCAACTGCCTGTCAGGCTCCACCTGAACCTCTCCGGGATACAACCCATCTGGTCATTCCTCCACGCTGTTCCGCCCCTCCCTCTTTCCCTCTTCCAGGCAGTCTGGGTGTACGTCGCCTGGCAGCCCGTCTCGTTCCGAGGTTCCTGCCACGCTTTCCATCTCACACGGAACAAGCATTTCACCTGTTGACAACACTGTACGACAGCGGCAGCAACATTCATGACATCCATGAGTCCGGCACGGATGCGGGCGACAGCCACAGCCGCCGCCACCACAGCAATCAGCACAGCCCGGTGCTACCTAACGGCAACGAAGCCATCGGCACCGATGCTGTGGTGGCTAGGCTGAATACAACAACAGATGGCACCACGGGTGCTACCGGCGAGTCCGCCTTGCGTGAGGCCATGCGCCGTGACGCGCTTTTAGGGCTGGGCAACGTGTTGGAGGCCGCTGTACGACAACCGGAGCGCAACGTGCCCGTGGTTTCAGAGCTAGTGCTGTATCTGATGAGGTGAGGCGCGTTGAGGGGGCGGAGGCAGGGCGGGGTCTGAAGTGCGGGTGATTGGTGTCCTGCAGCGATTGTGCTGCACTAGTGCTCGGCTACTTTCTTTAGCCAGCAGTTCAGTGTGAGGTCTCTTACGATTTAAATGGGCGGTGCGGCAGGGCACACCCTCACTCGCTGTGCATGTTTCCGGTCTCGGAAGCTCGGGGCTCAGTTCACGCTGTCTTGGTTAGACGTAACAGCGTTAACGTTTATAACCTAAACGCACCCCGGCACCCCGCCTGCTGTCGCCCTAGGGCTAAGCGCTTCCATGTTGCCTCCCCGTGCGTTTCTTCACGGCTTGGTTCATCTACTCCCCGTGCTCCCAACCCTGCATCAACACCGCTGCAGGCAGCTCCGCCTGCTTTGCTCCGGCGGCGGCGTCGACGGCCCAGTCGCCGTACAGCCCCATGCCGACGCTAACGGCGGCGCACCGCTCGCCGCTGCCGACGGGACAGGGGTGGAACTCAAGGCTGAGCCTGCTGCAGACGGCGGCGGAGGCAAGCAGCACCCTCATCCGCATCAGACAGAACGCAGCTCTAGGGAGTGTGTGCATCGCGCCGGCGGCGGTGTCGGAGATGCCGATGTTGGTTGCTGTCACCCTGGCACGACGGCGTCATCGGTAGCGCTCACTGCGGCGGCAGCAGCGGACTCCGACTCGGATGTCGGCATTATGCGTAGCCTGCTGTTCCGCGCCTTTTGCCTCTTCCCTCGCATCGTGTTGGCTGCCTGCCTGCAGCCCTTCCGGCAGCAGGCCGCTGCAGCTCCTGCCTCCAACACCTCCTCCAGCAGCCAGCAACGAGTGAAGCCGCCGCAGCAGCAGCGGGACTGCCAGGCCGCTGAGCTGCTGCTGGCGCTGCTGCTGCTGAAGCGAGCAGTCCCGCTGGGGCCGCCGTCGCATGGGTGGGTAGGTGCGGTTGGGACGGCGGCGGAGGTAGCGGTCAAGGACGCCGAAAGCGGTAAAGGACGCATTGGGGGCCCGGATTCGCCACCGCTGCCGCCACCTAGGAAATGCGGCTTGGACGCGGCGGCGGCAGCGATGATGACGGCGGCGGGGGACACGGCAGGTGGTGGCAGTGCAGGTGCCGGTGGAAGTGCAGCGCAGGGTTGCTGTCTGGCGGAGCAGGTGTTGTCGCAGGTGCCGGACACGCAGTCGTGGCTGCGGCAGCTGATGAATGCGATGAACAAGGGTGCGTGGGCAACGTGGGCGCGGGCATGGGGTTCAAGAGGTGCACTGTACGAGGGTTTAGGGTTTGAAGGCTTCTTTCCGCGGTAGTAGCATGGTGTGCGTATGCCTTTTTAGACAACGTGTTCATTCTACTGGCTGTGACAGTCCTTGTCTTCTGACTCTGATGCTGGGCATGGTTCAAGCGTGTCTTGCATTCACATTGGTCGCATGTACGGGTCGTGTCCTCGCCATGCCGTCATGCCATCATCTTCACAGTGTTTGTCGCTACCGGCTCTGCCACTAAACCACCCTGCGCCCTTTTGCCCTCTGCCCCCGCATCTGCGTCCGCTGATTCTCTTAACAGGCAAGTCCGCTTCGTCCCTCCCATCGGAGCTCCGAGCTCACCTCGATGCGCTACTCCGGTTCTGCACCACACCCGCGACCACCACGACCGCAGCCGCGCCCCATCTGCATCTCCCGGGATCTGCGGCGGCGGCGACTGCCGGCAAGACATCCCCCAAGTCCTGTGCCTCACCCGGCGTTGTCGTGGGGGCCCCTGGCGCCGCAGCCGCGGCGGCGACGACACCTGCTGCTGCCGGCGTTGGCGCTGACGGCACCAGCGGCTTGCAACCTACGCCTGGGCCCGGCAGACAGCCAAGCTTTGCGAGGGCAGTGGATACCGCCGCTGCTGCTGCTGGTACGGCAGTGGCGGCGGCGCCGCCGGCGGGGGCACCGACGACGACGACGTCCACCCACTCCTTGGTAGGCAGTGAGGATGGCAGCAGATCGGTACCCATGGATCTGGATCAGTCGGTTTGTACGACAGTTGGGCGTCATGATCACGTGGGGCCGAGTGGTGGCGTTGCTTGCGGAGGGCTGGGCGACGTGCCGATGGCGGCGGCAGCTGCGGCCGCCGCCGCTGCTGGCGGAGCCGTGTCGTACGCGTCCGGGCCGGCGGATACGGCAGCCACCCCAGCGCCGCCGCCACCGCCGCTGCCACCGCCGCCGCCGCATCAACATGGCCTGGTGCACCCTGCGTACGGCGGTCAACAAGAGGCAGCAGCGGCGGGGCTAGTGCTGCCGCCGCCACCGCCTGTGCCGTACACTCAGCTTCCACCGCCACCACCACCGCCTGCGGGCAGCGCTGCCGCTGCTGGCACTGGCGCTGTCGCTGCTGGCGCTGTCGGCACTAGCGCCAGCTTGCGGGGCGGCCTGGTGTGCCGGGCGGAGGCCTGCCTTTACATCGCCGGGTTGCCCGCTGGCCTGACGGAGGCAGCCCTGGTTTCGGAGCTCGGGCGTTCCGGACATGTGGAGTCCGTACACCCATGTCACCCGCAACCGCCAACTGCAACAGCCGCAGGACACCACCCCCTACTTAGCCATCACCACCCGACCCATGGGTCACCAGCCACAGCGCTTGGAGACGACGTCTACGTGGTCTTTGTTTCCTTACGCGATGCAGCCATGTGCTACGAAGCAGTGGCGCGCACCAGCCCCTTTGGCGGCAGCAGACCTCTGCTAGTGGAGTTCTGCTCCGCATTTCCGGCCGATAGCCCCGCCGCGCGCCGCCGCGCCGCCGCCAGCCAGTTTGTGTGGTTATCCGCCACCGTCGGCAGTGCCGCAACACCCGAATCCGTCGTCGCGGCGCTGCAAGAATCCGCGCTTCCGGTGCCTCAGCAAATCCTAAAGGTCCAGGGAAGGGCGCCTGGCATGCTGCTGTGCATGGCGAGCGGCGCAGTCGTGCCGCAGGTGACGGCATGTCTGTCGGCTCGCTTCGCGCCGCCGCCGCCGGTGGCGGCGTCAGCAGCGGCGGCGACGCCGGGGCCGTCGCAGCCGCCATTGCCGTACGGCACGCCAGGTGGAGTAGCGCCGCCGCCGCCGCCAGTGACGGCGGCGGCAGCAGTAGCTGCTAGCTGTGGTGCTCCGTACAGCGCGACGCCGGGAGCGGTGGGTATGCCTCCCGCAGGTGGCGGCAGCAGTACGGCAGCGGTATCTGCTGCGACTGGAGACGCGCCGCCGGCCAACTGCCGTACACTGTGGTTTGGGCAGGTAGGTGTACATGGTTTGGGGAATGCTATTGGAATGCGCGAGAATGTTAGTCTGGATTCGGCCGTTCAATTGACGACTCTTACACAGCCCGCAGGGAGCTGTTTATATTCTTTTTATTCGATCAGGTTATAACGCCTAAACGTTGTGCATGGGGGTAGCACCCCTCGCTCTGGGCTCTCCTACTGTGCTGGTCGCTTTGACCACTGTCTTAACTTCTTTTCTAACCATTTTTTCAACCTCCTCACCGAATGCCCTAACAGCTGCACGAAGCTGTACGGGACGAGGAGTTGCTCTCCGCGTGTCGTACACACGGGGGCGAGCTTACCGGCTACCGCTTCCTGCGTGGCAGCCACTGCGCCTTCGTTGACTTTGCGACCCAAACAGCCGCGGAGGCGGCGAAACGAGCCATGCATGGAATGCGGCTGGGGCCACAGCACATTCGCGTGGAGTGGAAGGTAGGTGGGGGAGGGGCGCAGTGTTCCGAGCGAAACGTGACGGCGTTAGTTGTGGGATGTGCTCTGATGAGCCCGTGATTGCACACATCCAACACTCATACTCTGCTGCATCCCCTTACCTTCCTCCCCGTCTTACCTCCTACGTATTTACCCCTTCCCTCAATGTCCTCGTCCCCTGGAAACCACGGTTGCAACCCCCAGCTGCAAGATTCGGGGCCGCCGTCTCGAGCACCGCCAATGAGCCGCAACCCAGCCGGAGCTGCTGGGAGCACAACACCGCCATTGCCCGGTGGCGGCGCCGCCGCCGCCACAGCTGCCGCACCAACGCCCGGAGCAGCGGCGGGATCCCTCCCGCTGCCGCCGCCGCCGCATGGGGCGCCGGCGGCGGCAGCGTCGACGCAGCCACCGACGCCGCCGCCCCTGTTGGGCTCGGCAGCGGCGCAGCAGCAGCAGCAGTTGACCCCGCAGGCCTTGGCGGCGGCGTCTGTAGCGGCCGCCGCCGCTGCGGTAGCGGCGCGTGGGGCCGCGGGTTTCTCCAGCGGGCAACGAACGGGAGCCGACCGTTGGGCGCCCGCGGTCATTCCACCGCCGGCGGCAGCCGCTACGACGCCGGCCGCGACGCCGCACCCGCCGCTGCCGCCGGCAGGCTACGGGACATCTCATGCGAACGCCGCCGCGGCGGCTTCAGCTGCTGCTGCTGCGACGAGCGGTCGGTCGACGCCGACACCCATGCAGCACGCGGGAGGGATGCTGGCTGCGGGGGTTGCAGGGTTGACGCCCGGGGGCCCGCAGCAGCAGCAGTTCGGGTTCGTGCACGCCCCTCACGCGGCTACGCCCGGCGGCGTGCCCTTGCCCCCCAACCCACACCTGCAAACGCCGCAGCTGCAAACCGGCGCATATCCTGGGCCGCCGATGCATCACCACCCGACGGCCGCGCATCCGAACGGTCCTGGCACTGCCCTACAGCAACAACAGCAGCAGCCAGGCGCAACGTTCCCCCACATGCATGTCCACTCCGCGCAGCACCCGCCAGGCGAGTGGCCGCTACCGCCGCCTCCGCCGCCGTCAGTGGGCGCCGCACCCCATGCCGTCGTGGCGCCTGGCGGCATCCCTATGATAGCCGCTGCCGGCGGCGGCGGAGGCGGCCAGGCTCCCCCGCTGCAACGGTACGGATCGGGACACCCGATGACGTCAGCCAACCTGACAACCGCAACCTCCCTCCCAACCGCTTCGCCGCCGCTGCCGCCCTCTGACGGCGGCGTGTTACCGCCGCCGCCGCCACTGCAGCCGCCGCCGCACCCACACCCCTACCCACATGCCACCAATCAGGCTGGCCATGTCAGTACTCCGCCCCATCTGGGCACTTCCCCTGGCTTCCACTCGCCGGGCGTGGCACCAAGCGGCCCATATCCCCACCAGCAGCAGCAGCAGCCTCATGGCCACCCCCACGCACCGCATCCGCACCCCCACGCACCGCACATGCTTGTCCAGCAGCAGCAGCAGCAGCAGCAGGTTCAACCACCGGGACACCACCACCACCACCACCACCCTCAGCACCACCACCAATCACACCCTCAACACCAGCAGCAGCAGCACCCGCACCCGCAGCAACAGCAACCGCCAGGTCCGCAGCAGCAGCAGTCGGCAGGTGGAGCGCCTGCGGTGACGTGGCAGGGCGGGCTGGCGAAGAGCGGCTCCCACATGTGTACGCTCCTCTGCACATCGGGGGGCGCCAGCGCTGCAAGTGAGTACCGTCGTACTATTTGTTTCTCTACAGTGTGACCTTGGAGGCCCCTGGCCCGCGATGCTTGATTGGAGCGCGCTTGGGGCACACTGGAGGATTTGTTGGGTATTCCCGTCTGTTGTGTATGACGTTAATAGTCTGGATGCACTCGACTGCTCCCAACACCGGGCAACGGATCCATCTCCTCTTAACTACCGGTGTCACGCCGTTGTTGCAACTTGCAAGCCTGCAACGCTGTCTTTCCCACCATGCTTTAAGGCCACCATGGCCGCCGCTACCGTTGCTGCCGCAGCACTCTCCATCCACCTTTGCTGCTGTCACCGCCTTGCTCGCACCCGTCTTGCTGCTCTGCTTGCTCGCAGGCGGCGCCTCACCCGGCGAGCGGGAGCCCGTCACCTGGCCCACCACCCTGGATGTGAAGCTGCGAGTGGACCTGACGTACGTCGTACACACGCTGTACAACCACACCGCCCCGCATGCCAGGTACGACAGACGCATGCTTGAACCCGTACACGGATTCGCTCCTCCTCGCAGCCAGTATGCTTGATACGTCAGGATTATCATTTTACCATTGTGTGTTGTGCCATGCTAACTAGGGCACTTTCGTGTTCCGGTAGTGCTACCCACATCGCATCTCATGGTAAGGTGATATGCTCGTGCCCTAATACCCGTGCACCAAACCCCACCTGCAGGGCTATGCGGCGGCTGGTGCCCGCGGGTGGTTCCGACCAGCGCTCCAAGCTATCCGAGTTCCTCTCCTACCTCGCGGAAAAGAACCGGGCAGGTGGGCGGTTGCTGTTGCAGATAAAGCTGAACAGTAAAGCAACTGGAGAATCCAAATCCCATATCCCGCCCACTCATTGGGGAGGGAGCGAGGGAGAAGGAGTCAGGAGGAGCTGAAGTCAGAAGACAGCGGACGAGTTCAGCAGACATACATGTTTTCTTGACAAGCGGGTGCTATCTTACTTTAAAAGCGCTGCCCCCTCATCCATCCCCAACCTTCTCATCTTCCTGTCTCCCCACCTCCCAGGCGTTATCAAGCTGGACGCAGCTGCGGGACTGCCGCCTCGCACCCTCTACCTGGTGCCCCCAAGCGAGCAGGTGTGTGAGTGGGGGGCTGGGTTGGGGCCGCGCATGCTAACCGGGTAGCGCTGCGGACAGCATGCTGGGGGGCACAAGCAAGGAGTGGGATTCTGATGAATATGTGGACCCTGCAAAATCCACCGTGCCAACTACCTTGAACGCTGCCTTACGGGCTCCGATTCTCCCCTTTCCCTGCAGGTGTGTTCGGTTCTGGGGGCCGAATGGACCCCGCGGGATCCCTTCCTGCTGGCCCTGGTGGTGCCCACTGCCGGCGGAGGAGGCTCAGCAGGAGGGGCGCGGTAGCGGCGGGAGCCAGATCCCCCCCCGTCTATACTATTGAGGCTTAGTATCGAAGCTTTGTGGTTCGTCCAGGGGCTAGGGACAACCAGCAGTAGCAGCAGCGGCGGCGGCTGGGGAAGAGGCGAGGGTGGGCCGGTGTTTGATGATATTGGGCGGCGTGCGAAAGTGGGAAGCCTGCATGCGGTTGTTCGCTGAGACAGAGGCAGCGACCGGGTTGCATGGGGAGACTGCGTGCATGTGCGCCCCTTTGGAAGACGCAAAAGGTGCATGTGTGTGCGTGGCAAGAGCTGCGGGCGCTGCTAAGGCGTGTCGGTGGTGCATGTGCTGCTGGTCGCTGTTGTCACGTTGAAGGCAGCTTGTTGACCAGGAATGGGGCATGAAGGTGTATGCTGCATTGGGGGCCGATTCGGGACGGGGCGGGGATGTCTTCCACAGCCCAGCGCGGATGTGGATATGGATGTTGGATGGCCCGCGGGTGGTGCTCGAACCGCTGGTTGGTATGGAGTGTGTGGTTGGAAAGGGTTTTAAGCGACGTCGGCACCTCATCCATGTGGGTACTGCACAGCCCCCGTGCGCAGCCTCACGGCGGCTCGTTAATGTGTCAAAAGGAAAGGTGCTTTGTGGGTGTCGAGTCTTGGGCCCTCCAAAGATGTACATCCCGAGGGTGCCCTATCCAGTAGGGGCCATGCCAGTGTTGTTGTTGTTGCCTGCTATAGGTGCGGTAGGGTATATAGGGTGTCAAGAAGGCACCAGAGCACAGCCGGGAGCGGGAGATGCTGCTAGGGAGAGGGGCGGGAAGGGTTTTAAGGTTCATAGGGATTACGGCATGTTGCTTCCCGGCCGTCCTCCCGATCGCCCCAGGATACGTATTGCTATAAGCGCGGCCGACCAAGATTTATAATACCGCGGCCACACTTTCACGCGAGGGGCACCTGGGGCTTACGAGCCTGTCCTTAGGATTAACGCCATATCAATGAATGATTGCACATGTGTTTGGGGGCTCTGAAAGGTGGGCAAGAACTTTTGTGTATTCCGTTGTGGGTGGTGCTAGGAGCGCGCAATCGCGATTTCTTGGTCCTAGGGTGGGGGGATGACATCACCCGGTGTGCGCTTGCTGCCGGGTCTTAGCTAGGAAACCCCTTTGGGCAGCTGCTTAGCGCCGTTGGGAGGTGACCCTGTCGCTTGTGTAAAGATATGGTGGAAAGCTTAATACGGGGTGTCCCTGTTGGCAATGCCATGACGCAGCACGGTGTGATAGCAACATTAAAGGACTTGCCTACCCAGGCAATAACAGCCATCGACCGGCCGACGAAAAGAACGCTGTGTCAAATGCTTGCCGTTGACACCCTACCTTTGCAATGCTCTGCGGATAGAGGTTTCGCTACGCTCACCAGAAGATGGTTATAGCCAAGCAACCCTGGATAAACAAATTCGCATCGCACAAACGCTGTGGAGGAACGCGCAACTGGAACCGGGGTGACACCTTCGCATGCCTCATGCGTGTATAGTTGTGGACTTCATAGTCTTGTCGTGCCAAAGTATCGTCTTGTCTGTTGGCATAGGCCATGCCACCAATGCCCAGTATCTGTGGCCCTGTACATGACGGCTAGTTGCTCCCATGCATGCATGTGGTTCACAGCACTGGGCCAGCTGCACCACTCTCTGCCGTCCATGAGCCACCCGCCACGCGAACTCGGTTAGGACAGACACACACCCCACCAAGCCGCCGTACCCGCGCAAGCGGCATGTCCCTCGACTCCCTGATGTGGTCTTGGCAGCGTGTCCGCTTAAGATTAAGAATATTAGCCCAACCTGCTACTCCCTAGTGAATTGCCATAGCTGTAACCTTCACCACCACAGCAACGGCCGCAACACCAACCATCAGCTCGTTCCTCCTGCGCCACCTGATGCTCCCTAAGGGACGTTCCTTTCTTGCCTGAGGATCAGCGCATTCCGCAATACCCACGTCGCCCCGGACTGCCGCTGCAGTTGACGAGCAGGGTAATTTAACGCAAGAACCTGAGGCCGGTCGAGAGTGGATGGCAGGCGCTGCCGAAAGGAAAGGGGTCCAAGGATGTTGGTGCAAGCATCCCTCAAGCTACAACCCAAAAAGAATGCTCCGATGCTCCCCTTCGTACGAGTGCTTGTGTATATGAGTGCATTTGCAAGCAAGCCCTTATGACGTCCTTGGGGCTCAGGTCATTTTGCACGTGACGGCATGATTGACATGTACCGTGTGGTCTTGAAGGTGCTGCAAACAAGCTAGCCTCTACCGGACAGGAACTGGCTGTTGATAAAATGACCCTTCTCACGGCGTGATGGTTGGTAGCCCCCATGCACGTGGGCAACCACTGCAGGACGTGTAGCAGAGTCCCAGAGCAAGTCGCGTGAGGAAACAGTGCCGTCTTTAAGTACTGACCCTTGGCCAGCCTGGGCACCGCGAATCCTTTAATCTTTCATAACGCAGTATGCAACGTGGTGCCTTACCTACTGATCTGCGCGTGTTGGGCCAATGGTCTGTCGTGGATTTCGAATTCGGCAGTTTTGCTAAACAACACCAGTTTCTGGCTTGTTGGGCTAACTTCTGTAGGATTTACCAAAGCTATTTTACCTTTCCATACTTAACGTCGCGTTGCCCCTACCAACTAAACACTGTATTTGCAATGCTATCCTTTGCTGGATGCTCGTATGCACTGCCATAACTCATGAACTTCAGCTTTGGCTCCGGCAATGGAGCAAAAGGAGATTGAACCTTTTGAGAACTCGTTGCCGTCTTGGCCAAATTTTGACGAGGGCGACGCAGACGACGATGACGACGAATATAAGGCAGACAGCGATGCAGAGGTTGACGATAGCGATACAGACGACGCTGATGAGCAGGAGGCGCTTCCTCAGGAGGAAGGTGGGCCATGCCACTGTGACCACCTGGGTCGCGCGGGTCCATAGCTGACGAATAAATGCATACCGGCTCAGGAGCACACACTACGAGAAGGCTTATACTTTCCGGGCTCGCTCCTTGGCATACTGCCACGGTGACGAATTGCAGTTTTACCGCGAGATGCAGCAGCACAGATACGCATGCCTTACGCGTTTCTGTGTTGGGTAGTAGATGGGGATGGCGCTATGCATTTCCTGCGCGCTTCGCTGGTTCCGTTCTAATGCTACCTGCAGCCTGTAACCAGGCCGTCCGCGTTCTCACCGCGGTGCTCACCCTTTACCTTTCAGCGCGCCGCCGAACCCCACTTTCCTAACCCCTGCAGATTCATTGCATCTATCGGACTTCGCTGACGATGTCTTAGATAGCCTGGAGGAGAAGGTGCTGAGCGACAGCGAGTGTGTTGAAAGCGATGCCGAGGATGAAGACGAGGTGGGAAGTACACGGGTACGGAACGTGTGGTCGGCGGGGCCATGCCATGGCAGCGTGAGGGCTGGTTTTAGATACAGCTTCCATCCATGTCACCCCCTGTCGGCATGTTCCCCTCGCAGGAGGCCGGCCTCGATCCGACCGCTTCTCAGCAGCAGGACTCAGCAGCACCAGTGGAACCTGACCTCGAAGCAACTTCAACATGGTCCTCGCAGCAGCATCAGCGCCCGCCACGTGTGAGGTCTGCCCGCAAGGCAAAGCAGCCGGGCAAAGAACGGGACACATCGTCAACGCCGCGAGGGCGGCGGGCTGGGGGGTCGGGGGCCCCCGCCGCCGCCCCCAACCACCATCGGCACAAGCCGGCGCTTGCGACTGTACCCGAAGACGGCACTCTGGAGCGTCCGGGTCAGCCGCCGCCGCAGCAGCAGGGCCATGGTCATGGGAACTTGCCTCCGTGGGACGGTGGCCAGGATGGGCAGGTTGACGCCACGCCTCGTGCGCAGCAGCAGTTGTCGCAGGGTCTTGACGGTGACGCTATGCTGACACCGCAGCAAGAGCATGCGGCGGGGTTTGGGGGAGGCCGCCAGGCGGCATCTCGGGCGGATTTGACGCCTCAACCGCAGCAGCTGCAGGCGCATGGCCGGCACCTGCCTCCTCTGCAGGAACAGACGCCCGTAAGCAATGGACGGTGTCAGCAGCAGCAACAGGCGCACGGAAGCAGTCAGGGGGTATGCCCTGCTGCCGACCCGCCTTGCGGCCAGGTGAGCAGCCCCTTACTGCCTTCTAACACGCTTACAGCTTGCCGCTAGGCTCAAGGTTGCCGACTAGGTAGTCAAGACCCAAAGCTGCAAGCTACGGCGTGATCTGTAGCCCATGCCGCCAATCCACGCTAGTCCGCTTTGTTCCTCGCGCCATCTGCTCACCCGCACCGCGCACTCCTGCACTCCTGGTCTGACAGGTACCTCCCATGGGCGACCTGCTTGGTGCCGCGGGTGCTGGCGCCGGCAGCGGTGCTCCACACAATGCCGAACAGCTTAAGCATCAACGCACGCAGCAGCAACAGCAGTTCACTCAGCCGCCACAGGCGCATCCACAGGGCCCAGGCGCAGCAGCTGGCGAGGCTGTTGCCTGGCCGTCTTCTGGTGGCATTTGCCGGCGCACGCGCGCGCATGTGTCGCTGCGGGATGTGGATCTTGAGGAGCTGGAGCAGCAGCTGCCGGAGTATGTGGACATGGAGGAGATTGAGCTGGCGGAAGACGACGAGGAGTACGGCAAATTCCTGCAGGTGACGATGAGCAGTGGGAAAGGGAGTTGGTGGTTACGGTAACCTCAGCCGATTGACGTGAGCTGCGCAGAGCCATCACCGTATCTCTATAAGCTTCATCGGCCCACCATGTACGTCTACGTCTTTCCCGGGTCCTCATCATGCCTTGTGACTTGTGGTGACTCCCAATTTTTCGCAGTCGCTCTTTGACGAGACAGCTTCCCTGCCCGAGGACAGCTCGGATGAAGACCCGGATTTTATGGCGGATCTGGATCTCGATTTCGACGAGGGCAGCAACGCAGGCACCCAGAGCGGCGACGGCGAGTGGATGCGGCTGTTGAACGGCTCCACGCGGCGTGACGGCAGGCTGCGGAACGGTGGCGACGGGGGAGGTGCGGATAGTCCTGCACGGAGGACACGGGCTCGTTCTAGACGCCAGACAGGTGGGTTGGAAGGGCCGGGGCGAGTGGGTTGGCGGCTTGGTTGCTCCTAACAGGTCCTTGCCCGCATGTGCAAGGCAGCCCTTGCCGGCTTGCTGATGAACAACCCACCCCCTTTCCCCATGCCTTGGCTCCCGCCTACCTAACCCTTCCCATGATAGGTCGCAGCAGTAGGAGCAACTCCTCGGGTGGGGCGGGACCCTCGAGCGGGTCCGTGGGCATCACGGGGGAGCAGCTCTCCACGCTGCATGCGCAGGTGGGGGGGGGACACGTCCCAGGGTTGTAGGTCTCCAGGGTAGGGAAAAAAGAAATTCCAATGTGTGGTGTGATAGGGTAGGGGGGTGCTTGCAGCTGACGCGTGGTTAAGACTACGTAGCGAAGGGGCTATAGGGGTGTGGGCATGTATTCATTCATTCCCCATCATCTACCGCTATGCCTTTGTGCCTCTGATGTTCTTCCGCTGCGTCCCTCTGTCCCCACTGTGTCCGCAGCTGCACTGCCACAGCCAGATGCTGGTGCAGATGTACGCCCTGTTGTCTTTGGACAGGGACTTGGAGGCGCAGCAGCTGGCGGCAAAGGTGAGCTTGGGCACGTTTGGGCTAGGAGGGCGAGGGCTCTGGGGCGAGGAAAAGCAACCACGGGGCTCTGGGGTGTGGTACGGATGGGCTAATTTGTAAGCTTACCATGTGAGCTTAGGAGGGATACGTTTCACTCCCTGCAACTTACCCGTTCGCCGCCCCTCTTACTGCATCCCGTGGCGTCCCTTGCCCTCCAGACCGATACTCTCATCCAGCGGCTCATGACGGCTCGGGACGCGCAGGGGTCCGCACGACAGGGGCTGGGCCTGCCCGCCTTCACAGCCGAGGACCTCTGTCGCCCCGCACCTCCGCCCGCACTGCTGCTGCCCCAACAGCTGACCTCCGGGGCAGCTGCAGCCGCCGGCACGAACCCCACTGCCACGGGGCCTGCTACCGGCAGCGAGGGAGGCGTGCCTGCGGATGGCCTCGCTGAAGGTGCTGCTGCGCCTACTGGTGTTGCTGCCCCCGCGATGACTGCCTCCATGCAAGCCCTGCCTTTTGGCGTGGGTGCTGCTGCTACCGCTCCCGCCACAACCGCAGTCTTAGCAGCAGCCAACCCACATGGCGCCTACGGAGCGTATGGTGCGTACGATGGCATGGAGGCCACGCGAGACGACGCAGGCAGCAACAGCGCCGCAGCTGCGGTGGCAGCGGCCGGCAGCGCCGCTGCCGACTTGGATTGTGACCTGGCTGCCGGCGCCGTGGCGGCAGGCATCCCAGCATTTAAGGCTGCGGCGGCGGCTCGGAGCACGGCGTTGGGTGCGGCCATTCGGGCGTTTCGGCCGGCTTGGTGGCCCGGGCCTAGCGGGGAGGTCTGGTCGGTGCTGGATGTGGTGCCGCTGAGGAAGTTTCCGGAGGTGCAGGTAAGAGGAAGGATTAAAAGGTTTAAAGGAAGGAACTGCACTAGGAGTGCTTTACATAACTTGAGCAGGTGTAACGAAGGGTGCGGGCTGAGAACGGCGTAGCGCCAGCTTTTGCTCTCTCTTCTCCACACTCCCTTGTACTGCACTCCATCGTCTTGCTCTGATCCGTTTCCCTCCATGTGCATTCCTCGCCACCCCTTCGCGTCGTGTACGCGCAGGAAGCCCTGCGTGCGCTGCCGCCCATGCCCATCAGCGCTCTGCAGGAGCAGCGGGAGCTGCTGGCATCAGCCAAGGACAAGCGGAAGAGCCGGCGGCGGCGGGGCTGCGACCCGCTGGTCACTGCCACAGAGTACATTCAGCCGGCGCTGCAGTGCTTGCAGGTACTGGGGTGCAGGTGCTGCATATGCGGGCGTGCGCAGCGCCTGGTCGTTCTTGATTGCAGTGCATGAGGGGCGAAGCGTTGGTAGGCTTGAACTGAGCCCCCTCACACCTGGAAGTAGTGGAATTGTTAGCTTCAGTTTGGTTGTGTATTACAACATGGCTCATGTCGCAGCGGTGGCTCTTGACAGGCAGCGTGCTAGTTTGGCGGCCAAGCCCAAAGCTACATCAGCTTGCGCCGATGCCACCACACGCATTTCCCAGCGCGCGAGTTTTCCCTTGTCCCCAACTCCCCATCATTCCTCGCCCCGCAGGGTCATCTCGCAGTGGCGCTGCTGTACGCGCCCAGCCCGCCCGTGCCGCCCTCCTACTGGACCAACTCGGAAGACGAGCTGCTGATGTACGGCATCGCCCGGTACGGCTCCAATTGGCGCCGCATTGCGGGTACGCTGTTGCCATGCCGCAACTCGACGCAAGTCGCCAACCGCCACAAGAACATCAACGCGCGGGGTCGCGTCATGGACCACGTGCTGGCGCTGGCTCAGGGGGCGCACCATGGGGCGGGAGCCGCCGCAAGTCAGCCTGGAGCGGGTCCCGAGGCCGCTGCACCCCATGCACTTCGCGCGGGGGCTGAGGGAGGTGCAAGGCTTGCGGCGGGGGCTGCTGCCGCACGGGTTGGTTTCGGAGCCGGTGGAGCGAATGGAACCCTGGCTGGAACAGGCGGTGCTGCAGCCGCAGCGGGTGGACGTAAAGGGAAGGCGTCTTCGGGGGTTCTAGCGAAAGCCAAGGACCCAAGTGGTGCAGCAGCGGCTGCTGTGTGCGGGACTGCTGCCCAGCAGCAACAGCAACAGCCACACATGCAACAGGCGCAGTTGCCGGTTCCTGGCGCCACCAACGCATTTGGATTGGGAGCGGCAGCAGCAGCTGGCACCACAGCAGCAACCACGGTGGCAGCAGGCGGAGGTGTTGCGAACGCTCCCAGCATTGTGCCGCCCATGCACCCCGATCTGGTCGCCCTGGTCAACGCCGCACGCAACCTCGGCTTGCCGCCCGCTGTCGCAGCTGCGCAAATCCTGCAAATGCAGCAGCAACTGCGGCTGAACCAGCAGCAGCAGCAACCGCCGCCGCGGCCCGCACCCGCTCCTCAGGTGCCGCTGCCAATCGCCATGCAGTTGGTGGCCCAGCTGCAGAAGCCGGGCGGGGCCATGGCTGCACGGCTGCTAGCAGCACAGCTGCAGGAGCCTTCAACCGCGTCCGCTGCTGTCACAGCCCTCCAGCTGGCTTCCCAGCAGCTCCTGCAGCAACAGCAACAGCAGCCTTCTAGTCTCTTGGCAGCACTGGCTGCGGCAGCTGCAGCCTCTGGGCAATCGGTAGCAGGCATGGGTGCGGGTGTCAGCGGCGGCGGCGGAGCGGTAGCAGCGGTGCTTGGCGGAGGGGTAGATCCAGCTACCACGAACGGGCTTTCTGGACTTAGCGCTGGCTTAGCGGCACCGGTTGCGAGTGCAACAACTACGAGTGCTGCAGCTGCCGCTGGTGGCGGTGGTGCGGCGGCATCGCAGCAATCGTCGCTGCTGTCTGTGGCCGCTCAGCTGTTGCAGGTCGGCGCAAAGCCCGTGGTGGTGACGCCGTCGCTCGTGCACCTGCAAGTCCCACCGCAGGTGCGTTCTGCTGGCTAGTTTTGGTTTGCGTCGCTAGTTGTGCATATTTTCTCCATGTTTGCGGTTCTGTTGGACCTTTTTGCCTAGCCCGTAGTGCTCTTGACGCGAAATACAGAATGTACGTCCATGAATGCGGTTGATATGCTTTGGTCCCGACTAATACTCTACCCGGTCCTTCCTTACACCCTTTCCTCCCGGTGCGGCGTGTGCATCTCCCCCTGCCTGCAGCTCGCCATGTCTGAGCCCCAGGTTATTCCCTTGGCGGGTCCGCTGGCTGGCATGAAGCTGCCTATCTCAGCAGCCGCGGCTGCAGCGGCGGCAGCAGCCGTGCAGTTACAGCGTCAGCAAGGAAACCCAACGCTGCCGACGCAGGGAATGCCCGTAGCACCTCCTGACGTTGCCGCTGCAGCAGCAGCGGCTGCTGGGGCCGGCATGCAGGCGGCCTTACCGCTAGGGTCGGGGACGTCCGCCGCCGTTGCCGATCCTTCGGGTCACGGCACAGGCGCGTTGTTCACCGGGCAGGGAGGCGTTGGTTCGTCGCATGCAGGCTCGATGCTGCAGCTCATGTCCTGTGGGAGTGGTCCGGCAATAGAGCCCTACGCCCCACCGCCGCCGTGGCAGCAGGAGGAGGACGATGACTCCAGAATGCCCTGGTCGCCGCCCCGGTCACCATCGCCGCCGCCACTATCACCACCGCTGCCCCATGCAGCAGCAGCCCCACCGCACGTTGCAGGGGAGGAGATACCTGTGCCCCACGGAGCATCAGGCTTCACGCCAGCTGGGCATCCGCACTTGACCGATGGTGCTACCTCCGACACCGCTCTCATACCACCACACACCGCTGCTGGGCCCCACATGGGCTTTGCGCCGGCTCCCCCTATGCTTCCGGGCATGGAAGCGCAGCAGCACAGACAACAGCTGCAGCCGCATGCGCACGCGCTCCCTCCTCGGCCGCCGCTGATTCCCCATTCAGGCAGCCTTCGAGACCGCCGCCGCAGTCGCGGCCCCAGCCCGGAGCCGCTACACCAGCTACACCACCACCATCATGGCACCCCTGGTGGAGGTTTCAGCCTCCTGCCACCTGATCCCTTCTCTTCCAATCTGCCTCCCGGAGTGCCCATGCACCCGGGAAGCACCGCGCTGCCACCCGCCTTGCCCAGCCTCTCGGACAACTTCACACTAAACGGGCTGTCGGACATGCTTTGCGCCGGCTTGAAGTCTGGCGCCGTCACGCCGGCGACGTGCCTGTCACCACAGGCCGGCACCATGTCCGTGTTCTCTCATGGTGGTACCATGTCCTTGCTGCTGGGAGGAAGCTTGTGTCTGTCTTCGTTGCTTCAGGGCGACGGCGGCACGCCGACAAAGACCACGGCCGATGGCACCACTGCTGACGCAGACGCGGACGAGGAAGCTGCTGTCGCAGGCTATCGTAATAATAGGCACAGCGAGGGCACTGCCACGGTTACGGAGGTATGCGAGCAGGAGGCGAGAGGTCTGCAATCGCCGCGACCGCCGGCATGTAACCAGCTGGCGCACCAACAGGATCAGCCGCATGCTCAGCTGGCAGATCCTCGACTGGCCGCAGCGGCAGCGGCAGCAGCAGCAGCGGGAGCTGCAACAGGCGCCCTGCATCATCAGCTGCGCTCGCCCGCAGCCAAGCAGCTCTTTAGTCCCACCAGCCCTGTAGCAGCAGCGGGAGGCGTGCGGCAACGGCTGATGCTAGGTGGGGATGCGCCACCCTCGCACCGAGCCCTGGCGTTGCTGCGAGGCGTGGTGGATGTGACGCCTTCATCGGACCCGAAAGCGAAGCGGCGCAGTCGTATCGCCGCCGCAGGGTTGGCTGCGGACCTCGCTCGACGTGAGCTCCAGCTAGCAGAGGTGGAACCCAGTCCTTTCGAGGGGACCGCGCAGAACGACCAGCTTGCGGGCGGCGGCAGCGACGGATCCGGTCGCCATCAACGGCGGCGGGAGGGGTTCCTGGATGATGCCGAGGGCAAGGGCGAGGGCCCACACCGCTCAAGGAGAACGTTGTTTGGCGATAATGACGGGGCAGGGACGGGCGATGGCGAGGCTAGTCGGGGGTGTCCTTCACCGGAGGCGGCAAAGGAGGCTCAGCCGGCGGCAGAAGCTGCGGGTGGTGGTGATGTGGAGGAGACAGAGGAGGCGCATGACGGTGGGCTTGAACGCGTGCGAAAGCGTTTGCGTTTGCTTGAAGACGACGCGCAGCAGCAACAGCAGCAACGCATCCATCACCAGGTGCATGCGGCCGCGGCGGCAGGAGCGCCCTCGCAGTTGGCAATTCCGGCGATGCAGTCGGAGGCACAGCCGCCGGCAAATCGAAGGCAGGCTGCGCAGAAACAGGTGAAAGCCGTTGCTGCAGTTGAGGATGCCGCGTCTGGCGAGCGCGACGGCGCCGTTGCTGGCGTTGCAATTCCTGCAAGGGATGGCTGCGTCCTCGGCAACGGCGTTCGGGAGCAGCCGGGCATTCACCAGGAGCCACAGTCGACGGTAGCGGCAGGCGGCAAGCGACGCACCGGGTTGACGTCAGCAGCCGCAGCCACATGCGCTGCGGATGCGACAACAAAGCGCGCTCGGCCTTTTGCTCCTGCTGCTGTTGCGGTGGCGCCCGCAGGAGGTCAGACGGCGCCGACCGAAGCACCTGTTGTCGCTGATGACACAGCAGGCGCCGTAACAACCCACCATACGGCACAGGCGCAAGGCCAGGCGGGTAAGCTTACTGGGCACAAACGAGGCAGGTCTGGAAGCAGCGGCAGCGGAAGCCGACAAGCGGCAGACAAGGCAACCGCCGCGGCGCATCTTGAAGCGGCCCAGTCTAATACTTCTTCTCCCGTGGAACGAGTCACCGCTGCTGCCGTCGCTCCTGACAAGCCCGGCGCAGTGGCAGGCATGTCTGCGGCAGCCGCCGCTGCTTGCAAGAACCCAACCATGCAGGCTGCGCCCGAACATGCATGCCCTGCTAGCGCTGCTGCTACCGGCGGCGGCGCCGTTGCTGCTTCACGCCCGCCCAAGGCTCCAGCGCGGAACAAGGGAGCTGCCACAGCTACACATCAGCGTGCACCCCAGGCCGCCGCTGCTGCTGCCGCCGCCGCAGCAACAGCACGTCCGGGTACCGACGCCAGCAACAATGACGGCGCTTTCGTGCCGTCAACCTCCCCGCATCCGCCCTTGCCACCCCGTCCCCGACCTCTTGAACCGCTGCCAGGCACCAACGGCCACAACTATACCGCCAGCAGAGCGGTAGAAGATGACGATGCTGCCGCAGGCGGGCTATCCCGTGTGAACAGCTCAACAGCATTAGCGCTCGGTGACACCTCACCTGGCGGCGGATTAAGCGGTTTGCAATCCATCTTGTGCGGTGGCGGCGTCGACACGCTTGGCGGAACGATGGACATTGTGTCGTTGCTGCCGTCCATTAGCACCCGCAGCCTTGCGGCAATTGAGGCAGGCATGGGCTCGCCTACGCCGCCGCCGCCGATGCGGCCGCTGCCCGGTGCAGCTACCGCAAGGGCTGGAGCCGTGGTGTCTCCCACGGCCGGAACCGCGGGCGCCGCGGCAGCTGGTGCTGCGACGTTGCCGGGATTCTTCAGCGGTGTTGGTGGCGCAGGCGGGTTTCTTTCGCCCCCGCAAAGTCAGATGCTTCGCATCTCGCCGCTTGCTCAGAGCGCAAACACGTTGAACACGCTGGACATGTTCCCGCTGTTCAGCAACACGACGGACCTCTGGCAGGTGTTGCAAGCGGATTCGGCCTGCGGCGCGGCGGCCTGCGGCGGCGGCGGCGGCAGCGCCGCGGCAACACGAGGGCCTGCAGGGACGCGGGTGGCAGTGGGCACGACAGCGGGCGGCGACGGCGCAGATGAAGGCACCTGCGCCAAGGCGCCGGCGGCAGGGGCGACGCAGGCGCTAGGCAGCGATGCATGGACACGCTTCATGGCGTTCTGCAGCCCTTCTGCCCAACATCCCAACTCTGGAACCGCTGCTGCCGCCGCTGTTGGTGCTGCCACAACCGGCCCGCACAGAACCGAGCGCTCAAACAGCGCTTTCCAACCCTATATAAGCGGCGGAGGTGACGCCGCGCGTGGAACATCTGTGGCTTGCGATGCCGGCCGCAGCCGCGACGGCTTGAGCAGACCCTTCGTGTCAACAGCAGCAGTGGCTGCTGACAAGGACGCTGAGGCCACCGCTGCAGGCGGCGCAGCAGCAGCCTCCGTCTGTCTTGCCAACGTCGCTTCGCAGCCCCATTCGCAACGCCATGCGCCCGTGGCGACGCCCGATGGCCGCCCAGCTGACGCAGACGCTCCCATGCTTACCGGGGACGTGAGGACGACGCTTCCGGGGTCAGGCGCGGCGCCTGCTGACCAGCAGTTGGCGAATCCGCCTTCACAGGTGGTAGTGGAGCCACTTGTTACGGCGCAGGTGCAGACCCAGGTCGCTGTGAAACCCATGGAAGCGGCGGACGCAGGCCCGGTCGTCCCGCCTGCTGCCGAGCCGCCCAACGCACAGCCGCAGCGGTTGGAAGCTGCCGCCGCTGCAGCTGCTGCTCCGCCTGTTGTTCCAGGCATCTTCTTGCCGCCTCTGACGCTGCCGTCCGCGCTGCAAAGGCGTGCAGCCGCGGCTGGGTTGGCGCCCGCTGAGGCGCCTGCTCCTGCTCCACAGCCGGCTGGCGATGGATCCGATCCTGCCTCTGAGACGGTGTGCCTGTTTGGGCGAACGGTTAGCAAGCCGCCTCCGTTTGCCAGCCCTACCATGCCATCGGCTCGTGCGCTGCCGCGACGGTTCGAGTTGTCCGCTGCCGTGCAACCTGGCTCAGCGGCGGCGCAGCAACATCAGCCGCCCCACACGTTACCTGCGGAGCATGATGGGCAAGAAGACCACCCTGCTACCACTTCCGTCATGGCCGGGTCGATTACCGCGGCCTTGGCAGCCGCTCCCAGCACGGCAGTACATGACGACCCCGACGCCCCAAAGTCCAACCAGCAACCAGCCATATTGTCACCTTTGTTCACACCTGCACATGGGCCCGGCGGAGGGCTAAGCCGCAACGCCGCAGCGGCCGCGGCTGCTGCTGCTGCCGCCGGCGGCGGCTTCTCCGAAACTCCCCGCTGGCAGGCGCCGCCGCTCGCTCCGGTGGCTGGCGCGGGTGCTCCGACACCGGCCTGCCCACCAACAGCCGTCGCCGGTGCCTTCCCCATGGGGCGCTTCCAGCAAACCCCGGGCACGGATCTGCACGGTTCCGTCGCTGTGGCAGCGCCCCTGTCGCTGACGCCTCTGCCGCCAGACGTTGCCGCCGCCGGACGCAGCTTCGCCCACGGCGCCCGAGGGGCGCTCGGACGGGTGGCTGCATGGGACCCCCGGAGGCTGGACGCTGTGGCTCCCTGCACGTCCGATTGGGCTTGTAATGATCCAGGACGGGGCAGCGGCGCCACATGCCCTCCAAAGCGGCGTGGCGGCGCCGGCGCCGCCGACACCCCCGGCAATGTCACATGCTACAGCCACGTGGCAAAGCCTACGCGATTCGCCATGGCGGCAGACAACTCAGCTGCTACTCCTTGCGCCCCGGTGCTGCATCAGCGGCTGACGTCGCCTGGGGTGGCGCCGGCGCTGATGCCGTCAGAAACAGGGCCTGACGCCGACGACTCTCGTGAACCGCCTCCTGAGGGCGATGAACAGGGGGAGGTGGAAGCGGACGAGACGGAGGCTGCAGAGGAGGAGCAGGAGGAAGCGCTTGTGGCGGAAGCTCACGGCAACGACGGCGCTCATGAAGGGGAGCAGCCGCAGCCACAGGAGGAGGCTGGGGTGCCAGACGGGGACGACGAGTCTGCTGGGAAATACCACAACCAGAACGGCGCTGGTGGCGGCGGCGCTGAGCAACCCATCGAGGCACATGCGGGCGCATCCAAGGGTGCTGCTGCCGCTGGCACCGCCGCCCCGCAGACGGATGGCGACTGGAGCAAGGAGCAGGACCAGCTGATCATGCGGGCAATCTTCATGTTGGGTCAGGGCCCTGCAACCTGGCAGAGCATCTGGCAGCAGCTGGGCGGGTTGAGGAGTCTGGAGGAGGTTGAGCAGCGAGGGAAGCAGCTGGTGGCACGGATGATGTCTATGATGCTGTGAGGGGGGCCGGCAGGGTGGGAGGTTGGGGTTGCCATGGTGGTTTTGAGGGTGGGCCATGTGTGGCAGGAGCTTTGGGGAGGGCTGCTGCATGGGAGGGGCCGTTGGCAAGAGCTTCCTCCTGCTGAGTTGATGACCCATAAGAACACAATTGCATTGCTAACCTGGTTGCATTTCTAATGGACCAAAATGAGTTTACTCCTTTGTTCCTGGATTTACTTGTATATGAGGAGATATTATGACGTGTAGATCCTAGTGAACGCACCTAAACGAATCGACGTGTGTGTATGGTGTCGACTTCATTGTGTTGGGCCGCGTACGCAATTAGGACGGGGATGGCGTTTTAACGTCCTCTTTGCTGGAGACTTGAAAACACTGTGGCTGGCTATACGACACACCATGCCATGGCATGGGGCTCTAGGACATTCTTGGACTTAGTGGTGGTGAGGTTGGTTAATGGTGGACAGTGTGCCTGAAGTGACGAGGCCTACAAAGGGAGCCTCTGGGGATAAAGCGGAGAAGGCGGCAGTTGTTGGACGCCAACTGCCACGATGCATATCTCGTGCCAGTACCGTTGCAGGACTGAGCATTGTTATGTACTAATATCTTGACGTTTAGCTAGACGTTTGGTATTCAAGGCCTGCGCCACAGGAACAAGGTAAGGCCAACGGTAATTGACGAAGGAAGGAGTTAGTTGCAGGCTTGGGGTTGATGTTTTTGTGGGGGCTATTGTTGGAATCGGTTGAGCTTCTTGTTTGTGGGCTTCAACTCTGGGTGGTCGTGTGGAGAATACCCGCCGTGAAGCGTGGGTAGCGCTGTTTGCTGCGCACGTCTGGTTTTTCCCTCTCTTCCTGCGCGATCTGGTGGTTCCTCATACTTTGGACATAAGCATGCCGCATTCTGCTGTGTTCGGCCTCACCGTGTATTTAGAGTAAGACTCATCATATACAGGCCCTAGTTGTGCCTTATGAGTCATGAGAGAACTTGCCCACATCATTTCCATGTAAAGATGCGTTTATGGATGTTGACGACGTTTCACCCAAACTGCGGCTGCTTTACGGCGTATTGGTTGCAACGTGAGGCGTTGACTGTTTGCGACTTGTAACGCCTGCCAATCGAGTCCTATTGGGTTTTGAGGAACATGCCATACAAACCGAGGCCTACGTTTTACAGTTAAGTGTTACAATAAACCGGACAAAGGTTACAAGGCGAGTGTTACAACAAACCGGGCAACATTGCTACGTGCAGCAGCAACATTTCATACCCAATCACTGAGAAAACAAATAACATCTGTGGCCGGATGCTTGCCCCGCAGGACTTGAAAGTTGCCAAAATAATGCCGATTGCGGCTTTGCGTATATTAGCTGAACATCCTATCAAGAATGAATCCCTGTGCATATGCATACAAAACTAATTCCACGTCACATCTGCAACTGCCGTAATGCATACATGCCTAACTACAACCCCAACTGGAACAACGCGACCCTGCCCAACCTCCTGCTTAGAAAAGTTCACGCATGGGAACGACCCATGGGTCATCCACCCGATATCATCCAACCTCAGCTTGCATGCGCACACCAGTTCACCACCTCCGCGACCAGCCCATAGTCCCTAACCCGCTAGTGCTGTTAGCGCCAATAAGGCAATGATGGGACTCCTAAACTGAGTTCCCTTCAGTGCGTAGTGTTCTCTAGATCGCACGCCGACGCCGAAAACCAACCGGTGGTGCCGCGTCACCGGCAGGTGAAGCCGGCGGGGGAGGAGATCGCTTAGATGGGGGTGGGGGCTTCTTCTTCTTAGCAGGAGGCTTCGGGCTGGGTGGTGGCGGCGGGCTTGGTGGAGGTAGGTTAGGTGGAGGGGCGTCCGGAGGAGTCGGTGGGGGGCTGGGCGGCGGTGGTGGTAGCGGGCGTGGAGGTGGGGATTTGGGAGGGGGCTTGGGTGAGGGCCTCGGAGGAGGTCGCGGGGGTGGCCGGGGTGGGGGAGGACGGGGTGGGGGAGGTCGTGGAGTGGGCGGTGGGCTGGGTGTTGGGCTTGGGGGAAGGCCGGGTGGCATTTCAGGAGGCAGGCTTGGGGGAGGGGGCGTAGGCAGGTTTGGAGGAGGCGGTGGTGGGGGGCTTGGGGGAGGGGGTGGAGGCGGCCTCGGAGGAGGAGGGGGTGGAGGTGGGCGCGGCGGGGGCGGTGGAGGCGGGCGCGGCGGGGGATTTGGCGGAGGGCTTGGGGGAGGCGGGTTTGGAGGAGGCGGTGGAGGCGGGTTTGGAGGAGGCGGTGGAGGCGGGTTTGGAGGAGGCGGTGGAGGCGGGTTTGGAGGAGGCGGTGGAGGCGGGTTTGGAGGAGGAGGTGGAGGGCTTGGCGGAGGAGGGGGTGGAGGGCTGGGGGGTGGAGGGCTGGGGGGAGGAGGGCTGGGGGGAGGCGGTTGTGGCGGGCGCGGTGGGGGGCTAGGTGGGGGTTTGGGCATGGAAGTTGGAGGAGGTCTAGGGGAGGGAATTGGTGGGGGGCTGGGAGGAGGGTTGGGAGGAGGTGGCCGTGGCGGCGGACTGGGAGGAAGGGGCGGGCTGGGACGGGGTGAGGGCGGCCTGGGAGGTGAAGGCCGGGGGCTTGGCGGTGGCGGGCGGGGCGGGGGAGGACGGGGGGGCGGTGGGCTGGGAGGAGGAGGACTGGGGGGCAGGTCTGGTAGGTCGGGAGGGGGTAGCGGTGGTGAAGGGATGAGGCCGCAATCCGGATCATCTGCATCAATTAAACCGTCACCTGCGAAGCAGAGGTATGTGTGTGCCGGCAGATTAGATAAAAAGGAATTCGGAACAAGAAGAGGAGTGGCTGGTGATTTGACGATTGTCCCCAGCAAGCACCAAGCAGACATGTCCCAAGGTATTCACGCCGGTCCCCTTCCCCCTCAGCTCATCTCCCCACAAACGTAGTCCAATGCGGTTTACACACTAGCCCCCTCTACTCACAGTCGTTGTCAATGCCGTCCGCGCACATGTCGCCGCCCGACTCCTCCAGCACCGTGAACCGGCAGATCTGCACAGTGGCACTGACGCCGGCGGTGATGGAGACAACTCGGATGCGCACTCCGCCACCAGAGAACTTGTCGTTGCTGCAAGAGTGGGCGGGAGGTGGGGCGAACGAGTAAGACCGGTGGGGTGTGGGACGTGGTTATCGGGTTATGGTGTGTAGTGGGATGTGCGGGACGGTGGGATGTGGGGGCTTACCCAGCCAAACTGCTCCCGATTGCCCAGATTACGCACTAGTATCGGCAGGTAGGGGGGCGGAGGCAGGACTGGAAGAGTATGTTATAACGTGCGGTGAGCTCACCCCATGTCTACAAAGGGGCTTGTGAAGACGCCGCTCCTGCCGAGGGTGGTAATCAGCATGGAACGGTTCCAGTCCCGCTCGGATGTCGTACCGTTGAAGTTGTGGATGAAAACCTGCATACACAGAAAGGGTACGGGAAGATGGTTCTTTCGATCACAAGCTCTTTCCATGACAGCGATTGGGAAACGTAATCAACGGAGGCAGCCCAGGAGTAGCTGAAGGTGAACGGTCCCCTTAGCGACCTGCACACCATACAACGCCGGCGGAGGATTTACCTTGTTGTTCAATGTAGATGGCAGAATGTTGTCAAACGTTGACGTACGTGTCCGGAAGCTGATCAGGTAGTTGGGAAAAGGGACACCATTGATGGAGTAGTTGAGGAAGACGTGGTTAGTGTCGGTTGCGGATTCCGGAGGGATGACCCAGATGCTTCCGGTACCCAAACCGCCGCCGCCGTTACCAGCATTGTTCGTTGTGTACGGTTGCAACGCAGCAATGGGGTAGTTCCAACCGACTCGCATCTGGTTGCCTGGGTTCATGCACAGATAGCCGTTGCCAGATGCCGTACCCATCACGTCCGATGTATCGCCGTACTGCAGTTGTATCATGCAATAACGGATGGGACAAAAGGCAAGTGCAAGTTGGTTAGTAAAAGGCCGCAATACCGTACCTTCGGGCGATCATCGCGCAGCCCCATTAGATGGAATTATTTTTCAAGCTCGCGCAGGGGTGTCAGGAATTATTTTTCAGCTTCGCGCAGCTCATGTCCACCACTGCATTTTGACTGTAAGAACCCATCCATGTAAGCCCAGATCGCCAAGACAGCTTTACAAATACCGCTACGTGTTCCATGGGGCATACCAGCATGCAGCCCGGGGCTGGGCAGCGGAGCTGACGGGGTGCTGGGGCATGTTGGGGGTGCGGGGAAGGGTCCCGAGGGGTTTCCCCAATTTCGCGCACCCCTCTCAGCAATTTTTTGATTTTGCGCGAAACTGCGCATTTTCCGAAATAATTATTTATCTTTGCGCGATGATATCGTGAAGGTACGGTAAGTCTCGCCGTCCGAGGTCTTGAGCTAACGACCCCCGGGTCACTCATTGATACCCATCAGTGTTCCAGTTCCTTACCTCATCCAGGCCCTTGCCCGCGTGGCTTAGCCCATGCGTGTGGCTGATCTCGTGCATGTTGATGGGCAGGTTGGTGGCGTAGTTGCCCTTGATGTAGGCGCTGCAGCTGGCGCCTCCGCAGCCCACTGAGGCCAGCCCCGCCCAGGGACATTTGACCTGTTGTGCAAGGAGGCACACAACAAGCAGCATTGGGCCACATGAGCACATGATGGCAGGCTCGAGAGGAAATGAACGGGAGCAGGACGAGCATGCGGCATGTGGGACATGCAAGAAGGGCACGCACAGTACGAGAGGTTGCACGCGGTGGCACCGGGCAAGAACAACATGCTCGGTGTAGTTATGAATGCTTGGCTTATTGACTTACATTAGCGGGCAGGATGTGGATGACGCGACGACGATTGTTGTCCGGGTTATCCATAAAGTCTCCGTAACCAGCCTGTCAGGAGCATTGCATGGGGTGTTGTGAACATGAGTAAGGCCATAAATCCTTGTCCGCGCGCCCATCTGACCTACGTGTAGGTCTATGCGACAAAGCAGCATCACGGATCTACTTGCAACAAAACCCTTGAAGAGTAGTTCTGTGTTTGCTGTTGGCTAGTTACCGCACCGCTCGAGCTGCTGCCTCCCCAGCCAGCCTCCACGCGTACTGCTCCGCGGCTCCGCAGTTCACAGATGAGTCGTACGGAAACGTCAGCCAACCGCTATCAACAGTTCCAGTGCAGGGCACCTGCATCGTGCAAAACACGTAATTCGGCTGTATATTTGCAATGATGATGGGGTTGCATTGTTGAATGCCAGCCAATGCATATGAGTTAACCGAGGCGTAACAAATGCATCGTTCCCTGTGTCTCGCTTCAGCACGCGAACTGAGACCGAGAGCCTCAACCTGTTCATCAATTTCACCCGCCTCTTATCCCACACATACCCCTGAAGCCCCAGCCCTTACCGCCCTATTCCCGTGAGCCGTGACCGTCTCTCACCTCCACGGGTCCCACCACAAAGTTGTCCGCCGGGTCGAACGTAAACTTGCCGTACGAGCATGAATCGTGATAGCCCTTGATGCTGAGGTTGTTGTAGAAATAGGCGTTCTGGACGTCCTGTTGCCAGCCAAGGGGAGAAGACGCGTGGAGGAAGGGGGAGGGAAAGGGTTAGTCGGATGCAGTACCGCGAGGAGCATTCACATGCTCCGGGCATGTTCACGGCAGCCACCGCTACGGTGGCTATGCTGCGAGCCACATCACCAGCCACCACCCAATCAACTCCGTGCAAAGCACGTGCAAAGCCCACTGTCCAAGATGACCAAGTAAGCCCAGTACCCTTCACAGCACCCGTTCTCGGCAGCACCTCCTCTATCATTACGCCAGCGGCGCCCCTGCCAGTATGGCAGTACGGCACAGTTACTGACCTCTACGGTAGCTGCTGCTGGCCACCCGCAGGTGGAGATCAGGTAGATCATGCTCTTGATGCGGATCTTGTCCCCCGTGAATATCTCATGCGGCTCACTGGGGACCAATACATCGATGCCGTCAATCATATCCATGGTTTCACCGTCGGAGGTGGGAGGCGACAGCGTAGCGGCAGGGTCGCTTAGCAGGCGCCGGTGAGATGAACTAGGGACGCCACTGCTGGTGTTGGTGCTGTTGCTAGCCTTGAAGCGCACCCTAACCTTGTCGCCAGTAGAAATCTGAAGTGGAAGGGGCGGTGAATGGGATAAAGTTAGGAGGCCGAGAGATTATAGGCTTGGACGCGCGCATTGTTGCGTTGGGCAGGGATGGGAGGGAGAGCAGCACCTCCAGGTGAGTCGCGGACGCGGACGTCTCCCGTACCCCCAGCCTCCGTACACAACGGTAAACGAGGTGCATGCATCATCGGGCCGGCCTTGCATGCTTGCACCTTGGTGCTTGATTGGAGCCAAGGAATGACGAACACAATACGTCTCATGCCAAACATTGCGTGTGGCGATTTGCAACAGCCACCGCTTCGCAAGGCGCCGCATGGCGGCATCACTAGGCTATTCCAACGTGGTAAGCGATGTGATATTCATGGTTGCAGGACATACGGCATGGAGAAAGCAGCGACGGAAATACACGGTAGCGGCTCACCTGGTACTTCTCGGCTAGCCCTGGGCCGGCAGCTATCTCCTGCCAGGCCGAGGAGTTTGAAGCTCCAGTATCGGTAGGCGTTATGTAAATGTAGTCCTTTTTGAGGTGAAAACCACTGCAGCCAGGCTTCCTGCGCATTGGTGCAAGTGATGCTTTCCGTTTAAAATGTGACACCGCGACAGATGGCTCGAAGTACCCAACGAAAAAGCTTTAATAAATCATACGTTGCTACAGTACCTTTCATCGACGTAGAGCGCCGCCATCACGTCCGCGACGCCTAAAGCGGAGGTGAGGGTGCGTTAGGTTCGAATTGGATGGGTATGCTCCGCCCTAAGGAGAGCAAGCCATACGGATATTCTCACCGCTAATTGTATTCAGACTGAAGGCAGCATCTGGAAATAATAAAAAGGCAGCCACGAGGAGGCTGGCCAGGCGACTCATATTCGCCAGAGTAAGGGCGCTGACCCCCCACTACCAGCCAACTAGCTTAATCTAAAAGCTTTTCATGAGATATGTCTCCCTGGCAGTAAACTGCCGTTAGTACATGACCGCCTACGAACGTGTTCGAAATGGAGGCTCGCCTAACTGACTCTGTGCTCCTCGATTGGCAATAAGAGATTAGAGTTATAAGATGCACTGTGCGCATGCTTCCTTGAGAACAATTGTGCGGTCTGTAAGCGCATATGGCGCTTGCAGTTTGTCGTACTAAAACTGGCCGGTAACTGGGAAACTGGCGGGAACCCTTTTACTTGTCAGACATGATTGCCAAAGCCTTGTACTTTATAGTACATAGTCACCTAGCGCTGATGCAGGAGAACCGCTGTAGAAGGACGCTGAACCGTGCATGCTGAACGTCCTTACGAACGGCTAACGCCAAAGCCCTAAGCTAGATCGGCCAGAGATTGCAACATACAGAAAGAACTTGATGATGCATTTTTCTAATTGTTTTGGTTGCAATTCCAGCGAACCAGCAAAGCAGCTCTCTCGGCTCCACATCCTTAAACATGCAGAACTCTGTGCTTTTCAGGCCAAATATGCGCTGTAGCCGAACAGCCAACCGGTACAGAGTCTATGAATTTAATCCAAGCTCTCACCCTGCTTTCTGCCATTTCCCATTTGCCATGCCAACGACGTCTGCCGCGCCAATGCCGTCCGCCGCCTGCCCTTTAAGGATAAGGGATTGTGGAACAATTGCCGTCCACGCTGCGATGCGGCACCCGCTTAGGCGCCGTCAGGGCCTTCCCTACAGGGCCATGTAGGGAAGGCCCGCAGTCACGGGTATTCACGACCGTTACACCGCTGGCCCACCCACCAGGGGGGTCAAAAACCATACCGAATCATAGGAAACCACGCCACCAGGGGGGAACGTAGCATTAAACCAAATGCATTTTAGCGACACGTCGGCAAAGTGAGGTTCATTTACTCTTGGTGGGTGGGCCAAGGTGCGCTTTGCGCAGGGTTTCTCCACGACATATGTGTTATGCCTTATGCCTTATGTGTGAAGGCATAACACAGAGCGGCCCAAAGCCCCGTCCTCGTCTGCCGTGGTTGGTATGCTGATGCCTTGCTTTGTCAGGACTAGGTGCTCCATCACCCCCGTTGAGAAGGGGTCCCCAGCGACTCTCTTTCCCGACGCCGCTTGAAGCCCCCCCGACGGAGCCTCGGGCAAGCTGGAGGTCGTGGCCCAGGTCATTAATTTTGCTCTATATATGAACACAACTGCCAATATCGCAAAGGACCAGGTTCAAGAAGACAGGCATTACCGGCATACCCTTGGCCGTTTCTACGGCTCCACCTGGCCCCTGTCCGGGTTTAAGCGCCTAGATTACGAACAGCGACGGGGGTTACGTGTCCTAGCGAACATTATGCAGGCAGGTTAGCAGGCAAAGCGAGGGGCAGGTGATCGGCAAAGGAGGGGTTAAGCAGCGGTAAATCTTCCATGGCCCTTGTCCAACATGCACAGCCCGAATCATCCGTGCGAGTTCGGACTATATAATGCACAACATTTCCACCAAGCAAGTACTCCGTGCTGCGAGGATTGTCTGCCGCCTTGCAATGCAACAGTCTTACCTAAAGTCATAACGGTGTGACATAAGGATCGGATCCGCGAAGCAAGAGCATCAATATAACCTTTTTTTGTTGACGCGAAGATTGTCGCTAAAGTATGGTCCCTACAGTGCTGTTCATTATGCCAGCGGTTGACGTGATGCGTCGCGCAGAGCGTAGTTAGTCCACGGGTTCGCGTTAGTGCAGACGTTGATGAATACCGGTAATGCATACCGGTACTTATTAGCGATGACAGTGTTGACCGGTTAGAGCAAAAATAATGAGCGGGAAAGGAAAGCGAAGCCAGGCTGCAAAGCAGCAAACGATTAATGCCTTCTTTAAGGCTGGTGCCGCAACGCCTGGTGAAGGAACTGAACAGGGGCGGGCGCGGCAGCCGGACCCTGGAGAAAGCACGGAACATCATCCGGCATCTAAAAGGCGTCGCATCACCGGTGCCACGGCCCCCACTCCAAAGCAGCCGGCGCAATCCGTTGAACCTTTGTCGGCCAAATTAGGGAACTTGGCTGAAGCTGGCGCCGGGGCGCGTGGGAAAGCCATCGGCAAGCATGCCCATGGCGCATCAACCTCTCCCCAAGCTGAGGTCGTCGACCTCCTTGACGATGAAACCTCATCAGCCTCTCAAGAGGATCAGGTACACCCGTCTGATGCGCGGCCACTACCCAGCAGCGGCAGCCCTATGGACATAGTACCAGCAACCGCCGCAGTTGCAACGAAAACAACTTATGCCGTGCCTACAAACGGCGCCACAGCACCCACACCACCAGCTGCTACAGCTACCCCGGTGCAATTGGCGGCAGCATCCGCACCCACAACAGCGGCGCCCCTGCCAGCCCAGGCCAAAGGAAACGGCCTGCAGCGGCTGCTGGCAGCCCGGCGCCGTTCCTCGGCCGCCCAACAGCCCGCCTCAACTCCTCAACTGCTCCCAGCCCCTGCCCACCACACCGGCGGCTACCCAATTGGAGCACCGGTAGTCGGAGCAGCTGCTGCTCCCCACCCGCAACCCGCACCTCCTCCCCCACCCGCACCTCCTCGTTTGACTCCGCAGCAGCGGCGAGCCGCCCAGCGGAAGCTGGCTCAGGAGTACGGACGGGCAGGGGTCAGCCTGGAACCCCAAACTGCTGCTTCTGCTGCTGCTGCCTCCGCTCCTGCTGCTGCCCCTGCCGGCGCCGCCCCCGCCCCCGCCCCCGCCAAGCTGACCCCCCTGGAGCAGCAGGTGGTGGCGCTGCGGGCGCAGCACCCGGGCACCCTGCTGGTGGTGGAGGTGAGGGGGGGGTCAGGGAGATGCGCTGCGGCGTTGCTGGAGACCCCAACCTTTGCCGCTCTGTCACTTCCCCTCCGCGGCTCCTCTCCTCCCCCCACCTCCTCCTCCATTCTCCCTCCCCACCTCTCTTCTCCTCCCCCCCTCTCGCCCCCCCTTCACCTTTCGTCTATGTCTTGCCCCCCCCCCTGCCAGGTGGGTTACAAGATGCGGTTCTTCGGGGAGGATGCCGAGGTGGCCTCCCGCGTGTGCAACATGTGGGTGCGGGGGTGGGGGGGTGGGGGAGAGGGTGGGATGGGGGCCTGGGAGGGAGGGGGCGCCGGCAACCGGGTTGGAAGGGGCAAGGGGGCTGCATGGTGCTGTGTGGCGGTCAGCTAGGGGTTGTTTCGAACGGAAGCAGCAGCAGGAAGAAGGGTGACAGGAGCGCTGCTGACCCCCACACTCATTTCGTCATGGAAGTACCCCCCCCCTCACCCCCCCCTCACCCCTGCCCCCCAGCTACGCGCACATGGACCACAGCTTCCTCACCGCCTCCTTCCCCGTGCACCGCCTGCCGCTGTACGTGCGGCGGCTGTGCAGGGCGGGGTACCGGGTGGGGGTGGTGCGGCAGGTGGGGGGGGAGGGGGCACAATGAGGCTGTGGCATAGAAACTACTGCGGGGGTGCATGGGAGCGGGTTGTGGGTGCTGGGGAGGGGTCGGGGTGGAGGACCGCGGTGGTGGGTAGGGTTGCCCCTCCTCCCCTGCCCCCCTCTTATCCTCTGCCTCCTCCCTCCCTCCTGCTCCCCCCTCCCTCCTCCCCTCCCCCCCATGCAGACCGAGACGGCAGCCCTCAAGGCGGCGGGCGCCAACCGCTCCGCCCCCTTCGAGCGCCGCCTCACCGCCCTCTACACCGCCGCCACACTGGAGGCGGGGCGGCGGGCGGACAAGATTGGTGCGGGGGGGGGGGGGGGGCGGCGGGCAGGGGGTTGGTTGCATGCATGGATGGAGGGTGCGTGAGGCGGGGTGGATGCAGGGCGCGCAAGGAGAGGGGGGAGAGGGAAAGGAAGTCGTATTCTTGACAAAGAAGTCAAAGCCGCGCTCCTAACCCGCACGCACAAATGGATGGATGGTTGCAGGTGAGGAGGGTGCGCTGGACGAGCTACAGGACCTAGCACCCCTGGGTGGGGCCGGAGGAGGAGGAGGGGCAGCCAACGTGCTAGTGCTGGCAGAATTGCCACCACTGCCAGCACCAACGCCCCTGCTGCTGCCGGTTTCGGAGCAAGGAGCAGCGGGGGCAGGAGCAGGAGCAGGAGCAGCGGCACCCCTGGCGGCTGCTGCGGGGAGTGCGGGGGGATGCATTGGCGTGCTGTGTATGGATGTGGCAGGTGGGGGTGGGTGGGTGGGTGGTAAGAGGGGAGGCGACGGTTGGGGCCCGAAACATGTGTGTGGTTTCGGGTCCCCGCAGGTCTTGCGCAACCCGCAACGTCACAACGATGTCATATCAAGCATGTTAACTTGTTAACATCCATACAACATCATCCACGCGCATGTGTAGCATACATGCAGATGTGACCAAGCTCCCTTTCTCGTGTCGTACCTGCCGTATCTTTCACCCCCGCCACCCCTGCCGCGTCCGTACAGGAGGGGACATCGTGTACGGCATCTGTGGCAGTGCCGCCCTGCCCCCCCGCACCACCACCACCGCTACTACCGGTAATACCCGTGGCACCGGCAGTGGCGGAGGCGGTAGCATTGACGTCAACGCCACCTCTGCCACCACAGCAGCCGCAGCACCCGCCTCTGCAGCCTCAGCCGCCGCAGCGGTAGCTGCCGCCGCCGCCGCAGCAGCAGCAGCCGCAGAGGAGCTGGAGGCGCTGCTCATCTCCGCAGCGCCCGTTGAGGTCGTGTGTGTGGGTGAGCCCCAGCCCGCCACCCGCCGCCTGCTGCACAGCTACCTGGCGTCGGCGGCGGGGTGCCGCGTGGAGAAGCTTCCGCTGCCTTTGCAACAGGAGGGAGGGGGGGAACAGGAGAGGGGCGGCGGCGGCGCAGCAGCAGCAGATGCATGTGTGGCGGCGGCACGTCGGGAACTGGCGGCGTTCTTCAGCTGCCCATCCCCTTCCTCCTCCTCCTCTTCACCTTGGCCTTCTTCCGTCGAAGCTACGACCGCTACTGCCGTCGACGCGGTTACAGCCAGGACCCCGGCTGCACCTCAGGGCTCGGACCCACATGCCTCCTCCGCTCCCGCCTCCCCTTCCCCCTCCTCCTTCCCAGCAGCAGCAGCGGCAGCAGCAGCAACGGCCCTAGCTCGTTTCGCCTCTGAGGTGGCCCCCGCAGTAGCGCTGGCCGCATGGGGGGCTGTACGGCACCTGCAGCCCTTTGGCCTCACTGCCGTACTGCGAATGGGCAGCTGCTGGCGGCCGCTGAACAACTGTACGACACCGCTACCGCCGTACGTCCCCCCGCCGTCAGCCGCGTCCGCTGCTGGTGCTGCTGACGCTGCTGCCGTACCGTCGCCTCCGCCGCTGCCGCGGCGGCAGCACTCAAGCCCTCTCCTCCTCCCAGAGATGTCATTGGGTCCTAACGCGCTGCGACAGCTGGAGATCTTATCCCCGGCGGAAGCGGGTGACGACGGGGGTGGCTTCCTGGGTGCGGGTGCATGCGGAGGCGGAGGCGGAGGCGGCGGGGGAACGTTGCTGCGGTTGATGGATCGGACGCACACGGGCTTCGGCTGTCGGCTGCTGCGGAGGTGGCTGGTGCGACCGCTGGGGGTGCGGGGGCTCATTGTGAGGCGGCAGCAGGCGGTGGCGGAGATACTGGAAGCGGGTGGGGGTGGGGTGGGGTGGGGTGGGGTGGGGTGGGGTGGGGTGGGGTGGGGTGGGGTGGGGTGGGGTGGGGTGGGGTGGGGTGGGGTGGGGTGGGGTGGGGTGGGGTGGGGTGGGGTGGGGTGGGGTGGGGTGGGGTGGGGTGGGGTGGGGTGGGGTGGGGTGGGGTGGGGTGGGGTGGGTGGGGTGGGGTGGGGTGGGGTGGGGTGGGGTGGGGTGGGGTGGGGTGGGGTGGGGTGGGGTGGGGTGGGGTGGGGTGGGGTGGGGTGGGGTGGGGTGGGGTGGGGTGGGGTGGGGTGGGGTGGGGTGGGGTGGGGTGGGGTGGGGTGGGGTGGGGTGGGGTGGGGTGGGGTGGGGTGGGGTGGGGTGGGGTGGGGTGGGGTGGGGTGGGGTGGGGTGGGGTGGGGTGGGGTGGGGTGGGGTGGGGTGGGGTGGGGTGGGGTGGGGTGGGGTGGGGTGGGGTGGGGTGGGGTGGGGTGGGGTGGGGTGGGGTGGGGTGGGGTGGGGTGGGGTGGGGTGGGGTGGGGTGGGGTGGGGTGGGGTGGGGTGGGGTGGGGTGGGGTGGGGTGGGTGGGGTGGGGTGGGGTGGGGTGGGGTGGGGTGGGGTGGGGTGGGGTGGGGTGGGGTGGGGTGGGGTGGGGTGGGGTGGGGTGGGGTGGGGTGGGGTGGGGTGGGGTGGGGTGGGGTGGGGTGGGGTGGGGTGGGGTGGGGTGGGGTGGGGTGGGGTGGGGTGGGGTGGGGTGGGTGGGGTGGGGTGGGGTGGGGTGGGGTGGGGTGGGGTGGGGTGGGGTGGGGTGGGGTGGGGTGGGGTGGGGTGGGGTGGGGTGGGGTGGGGTGGGGTGGGGTGGGGTGGGGTGGGGTGGGGTGGGGTGGGGTGGGGTGGGGTGGGGTGGGTGGGGTGGGGTGGGGTGGGGTGGGGTGGGGTGGGGTGGGGTGGGGTGGGGTGGGGTGGGGTGGGGTGGGGTGGGTGGGGTGGGGTGGGGTGGGGTGGGGTGGGGTGGGTGGGGTGGGGTGGGGTGGGGTGGGGTGGGGTGGGGTGGGGTGGGGTGGGGTGGGGTGGGGTGGGGTGGGGTGGGGTGGGGTGGGGTGGGGTGGGGTGGGGTGGGGTGGGGTGGGGTGGGGTGGGGTGGGGTGGGGTGGGGTGGGGTGGGGTGGGGTGGGTGGGGTGGGGTGGGGTGGGGTGGGGTGGGGTGGGGTGGGGTGGGGTGGGGTGGGTGGGGTGGGGTGGGGTGGGGTGGGGTGGGGTGGGGTGGGGTGGGGTGGGGTGGGGTGGGGTGGGGTGGGGTGGGGTGGGGTGGGTGGGGTGGGGTGGGGTGGGGTGGGGTGGGGTGGGGTGGGGTGGGGTGGGGTGGGGTGGGGTGGGGTGGGGTGGGGTGGGGTGGGGTGGGGTGGGGTGGGGTGGGGTGGGGTGGGGTGGGGTGGGGTGGGTGGGGTGGGGTGGGGTGGGGTGGGGTGGGGTGGGGTGGGGTGGGGTGGGGTGGGTGGGGTGGGGTGGGGTGGGGTGGGGTGGGGTGGGGTGGGGTGGGGTGGGGTGGGGTGGGGTGGGGTGGGGTGGGGTGGGGTGGGGTGGGGTGGGGTGGGGTGGGGTGGGGTGGGGTGGGTGGGTGGGGTGGGGTGGGGTGGGGTGGGGTGGGGTGGGGTGGGGTGGGGTGGGGTGGGGTGGGGTGGGGTGGGGTGGGGTGGGGTGGGGTGGGGTGGGGTGGGGTGGGGTGGGGTGGGGTGGGGTGGGGTGGGGTGGGGTGGGGTGGGGTGGGGTGGGGTGGGGTGGGGTGGGGTGGGGTGGGGTGGGGTGGGGTGGGGTGGGGTGGGGTGGGGTGGGGTGGGGTGGGGTGGGGTGGGGTGGGTGGGGTGGGGTGGGGTGGGGTGGGGTGGGGTGGGGTGGGGTGGGGTGGGGTGGGGTGGGGTGGGGTGGGGTGGGGTGGGGTGGGGTGGGGTGGGGTGGGGTGGGTGGGGTGGGGTGGGGTGGGGTGGGGTGGGGTGGGGTGGGGTGGGGTGGGGTGGGGTGGGGTGGGGTGGGGTGGGGTGGGGTGGGGTGGGGTGGGGTGGGGTGGGGTGGGGTGGGGTGGGGTGGGGTGGGGTGGGGTGGGGTGGGTGGGGTGGGGTGGGGTGGGGTGGGGTGGGGTGGGGTGGGGTGGGTGGGGTGGGGTGGGGTGGGGTGGGGTGGGGTGGGGTGGGGTGGGGTGGGGTGGGGTGGGGTGGGGTGGGGTGGGGTGGGGTGGGTGGGGTGGGGTGGGGTGGGGTGGGGTGGGGTGGGGTGGGGTGGGGTGGGGTGGGGTGGGGTGGGGTGGGGTGGGGTGGGTGGGGTGGGGTGGGGTGGGGTGGGGTGGGGTGGGGTGGGGTGGGGTGGGGTGGGGTGGGGTGGGGTGGGGTGGGGTGGGGTGGGGTGGGGTGGGGTGGGGTGGGGTGGGTGGGGTGGGGTGGGGTGGGGTGGGGTGGGGTGGGGTGGGGTGGGGTGGGGTGGGGTGGGGTGGGGTGGGGTGGGGTGGGGTGGGGTGGGGTGGGGTGGGGTGGGGTGGGGTGGGTGGGGTGGGGTGGGGTGGGGTGGGGTGGGGTGGGGTGGGGTGGGGTGGGGTGGGGTGGGGTGGGTGGGGTGGGGTGGGGTGGGGTGGGGTGGGGTGGGGTGGGGTGGGGTGGGGTGGGGTGGGGTGGGGTGGGGTGGGGTGGGGTGGGGTGGGGTGGGGTGGGGTGGGGTGGGGTGGGGTGGGGTGGGGTGGGGTGGGGTGGGGTGGGGTGGGGTGGGGTGGGGTGGGGTGGGGTGGGGTGGGGTGGGGTGGGGTGGGGTGGGGTGGGGTGGGGTTTAGGATGAAGCCGAGGGGGAGGCGGCGGTGGGAAGGAATGGGGTGTATGCGACTGGGATGCCGCTCTGTGTTTGTCCTGTGTCAGGGCAGGAGTTCCATACCCGCCTCCCCTCTTTCCATCCGCTCATCCCACCCCCAAGCAGTCCAGGCGGGGTATGCGCCGCTGTGCTTGCTGCCCAAGGTATGCCGCTTCGGGTTGGGGATGAACGGGGAAGAGGGTCAGAAAAGGGAGGGGAAATAGGGGAGGTTTGCCCGCCCCTCGTGGTGCCCACTGCCACCCCAAAGGGCTCACGCACTTGGACACTTTTCCCTCATTCGAACACTCTTCCCCCGATCCCCTCCCGTTGCTTCCTCATCCCAACCCGGCCCCCTTCCCCTCTCTTCCTCTCCTCTCCCCCCCACCCACCATACCCCACCCCCTCCTTCCTCTCCACCCCAACCCCCCGGCCCCCCCTCCCCTCCGCCCCCCTCCCAGGCTCTCTCCCGGCTGCCCGACGTGGAGCGGGGTATCACGCGGGCGCTGTACGGCAGCGCATCGCCGGCGGAGTTCGTGGGCACCGTACGAGCACTGCAACAGGTGGGGGGTGGGAGAGGGAGGGGGGGAGGAGGGAGGGGTTGCTGGTAGGGGTGAGGTGTGTGTGTGTGTATTATTGCAACTGGCCCAAAAACCCCACAACCCGTCGACTGGCATGTCTGTCGGCCTGTGTGCGTGTTTGTGTTTTGTTCTGAGGCCCGATGTGGTCGCACACCCACCCCTCCCACCCCTCCCTCCCTCCCCTTCCCCCACAGTTCCGAACCGATCTGGGCCTCCCACCTCTACCCGACCCACCCCAAGATGAACCCCTGCCGTACGACGACGATGACGGCGACGATCATGACGAGGACCCCCATGATGCCGTACTACAACGTCAACAACCACTGCACCCGTACGACAACGGTTTGTACGACAACAATCCTAGCGGCGCTGCCACTACCGCCACCGCTACTGCTGCTACCCCTGCTGCTGCTGCCCCCGTCCTGGCCTCCTTCCACTCCTGCGTTCACGCTCCGCTGCTGCGGGGGCTGCTGCGATGTGTGGCGGGTGCGGGGCTGGCGGGGGCGCTAGCGCGGTGCGTGGCCCCACTGGACGTGCGGGCCGCTGCTGCGAATGACTTTGGAGGGATGTTCGCGGACAAGGAGAGGTAGGGGTGGGGGGAGGGGGGTGGGGGAAGAAGCGGGCCATGCGTGAGGGCCAGCGGACAAGGGGGATATGGGGTGGCAGAGGGAGAGGGGCAGGGGCGTGGGTGAGGGCGGCGGTTGTGGGCAGGAGAGAGGTCGTGAGGGAGGGGGAGGGTGGGTTGCCTCTGCTTCGCATGCTTGTTGTCTGACCGCCCTTCCGTGCCAGACGTCTTGGGTGCGCCCTGCAGCTGCCCCCCGCCCCCTTCCATTCCTCTCGCCGCTTGCGGTCTCACCCCCCATCCCACCCCCTAACCCACTCCTAACCCACCCGCCCCCCAGGTTCCAGGGCGTGTGGGCGGCCAAGGCAGAGGTCCAGGCGGCTGAGGAGCACCTGCAGGTGGGTGGGGAGGGGGGGGCAGGGAGGGGCAGGGAAGGGGAGGGGTAGGAGAGGGGAGGGGCAGGAGAGGGGAGGGGCAGGAGAGGGGAGGGGCAGGAGAGGGGAGGGGCAGGAGAGGGGAGGGAGGGGCATGGGCAGGGGCAGGGAAGGGAAGGGGCAGGGAAGGGGAGGGAGAACGAGGTCACAAACTTGACGTATGTGGCAGCCCAAGTGCGGGTGCGGGGAAGGGGAAGGGGAAGGGAGAGAAGGGGCAGGAGCTGTCTCTTACCCTACCCCTTGTAAGACAGGGTGACACAAAACACCCTCCGCCCCCCGTTCTTATTCAACACATTGGATATCCTTCTAACCCCCCCCGCCCCCCCACCTCCCACCACCCCCAGTCCCTGCTTCCCTCCCTGGCCCGGGCGGTGGGGCTGCCCGCCCTGTCGTACACCTGCGTCGCCAACCAGGGCAGTCACCTGGTGGAGGTGCCGGTGGAGGCGGAGAGGAGGGTGCCGGGGGGCTGGCACAAGGTGGGGGGGAGGGAGGGGGGAGGGAGGGGGCGCGTGTGTGTATGTGTTGACAGAACTGGCGTGTGCGTGTGTTGACAAAACTGGCGGCCCCGAGGCGGAACGTACTGGGTTTGCTGGTAGATGAAGTCTGTGTGTGTGTGTGTGTATTGGCAACATGGGAACTTCCTCCTTCATTGCCCACCCTTCCCTCTCTGCCGCTGCCCCCCTCCCCCCCTTCCCCCTCTACCTCCCCCTGCCCCCCCTCCCCAGGTGTGCTCCACCAAGCGTTTTCACCGCTACCACCCACCCCAGGTGTGTTGCGGGGCGACATAGCGGAGGGGGGAGAGGTGACACAGCTGGGGGCAGCTGACAGGGCCCCTGCTTGTGAGTGTATGTGTCACACATGTGCACGTCACACGTGGCGCACTCACGCTAATCCGATCATTATTGTTTGGCAGCGGGGGGGGGCGTTGTTGGCATTCGGTGGTGCGGTTCTGCTCCGCACCTGCTTTACACACCTGCACCAAGCCATACGGCTCCTTTCCTTCCATTTTGCCCCTCCCCCACCCCCACCCCCGCTCCTCCCGCCACCCCCCTCCAGGTGACCGCCGGCTTGCAGCGGCTGGCGCGGGCACGGGAGCTGCTGGCGGGGGCTCAGGCGGCTGCATGGGCGGCCTTCCTATCGGCCTTCGCACCCACCTACCCCGCAGGTGGGGAGGGGCTGGGGGCTGGGGGCTGGGCTGGGACAGCATTGGCGGTGTGTTAGCAGCACCCAGGCATCTGCCATCCCGGCCGCTGTGGATGCCGCCGCCCTGCCCTTCCGTCCGGCTCCCACTACTCTTCTCCACTCACCTCCCCGCACCTATTCCCGCTATCCCTTTCCATTCACCTTTCCGGCTTGCCTTCCCCCGCCCCCCCCCCCGCCCTATTACCCCCCCCTCCCCCGCCCCCAGCCCTGGCCGCCGTGCGTGCTGTCGCCCAGCTGGACGTGCTGGGGGGGCTGGCGGAGCTGGCGGGCTGCCCCGGGTACTGCCGACCCATGTTCCTGGAGCCAGGGGGGGAGGAGGAGGAGGAGGAGGAGGACGGGGCAGGGGGGGAGGAGGCAGAAGCGGAGGAGGCGGAGGCTGGGCAGGGTGTTGTGGACGTGATGGAGATGGATGAGGCAGCAGCGGCTGCTGGGGAGGAGGGAGGAGGAGGGCGGCGGAGAAGGGGTCAGCGAGGGAGAGAAGCTGGGGGTGGTGGCAAGGCAGGAGGCGGCAGCGGAGGAGGAGGGGGCTACGCTGTGTTGCGCGCCAAGGCGGCTCGGCACCCCATGTTGGACGCGCGGCTGAGTGGCATGTTGCGAGGGGGAGGGGTGGCTGTGGCGGGAGCAGCAGCAGCAGGCGGGGCGGTTCCCAATGACATCAGCCTGGATGGGCGCGGAGGCGGAGGCGGAGGCGGAGGCGGAGGCGGAGGCGGAGGTCGGGGGAGGCGTCCTCACCGGCACCCGAACAGGGGGGCCGGGGGCGGCAACAGCACAGGAGGAGGCAGTGGAGGAGGAGGCGAAGGGGAAACGAGAGGCGAAGGCGGCGGTGTTCGTTGCCTGGTTGTGACGGGTCCCAACATGGGCGGCAAGTCCTGCTACACACGCACCGTGGCGCTGCTGGTGGTGATGGCGCAGGTGGGGGGGCAGGGGAGGAGGTGAGGGGGGGAGGGGGGGGCAGGGAGGTGAGGGAGGAGGTGCCAAAACAGGGGGCAGGGAGGGTGGAGGGGTCAAGAGAGGGGGCAGGGAGGGAGGAGGGGGTCATGAGGGGCTAAACCGTAGGAAACCACAGGTTAGGGCAAAGCAGCGGGGATCGGGTGGCGGCAGGGTGTCACTAAACAAGGGAGGGAGGTTGGGCAGGGAGGGAGGGAGGAGGGAAGAGGGCTGTTGGGGATGGGCGGGTGGCAAGCCACTTGGGGCCCTCAACACGCCGCTATACACATCGACCATGCACGCGCCTTCCCCGCCCCTTTCCTTTACCCTTCCCCTCCTGTAACAACGGTCCTGAAAAGGCCTCCTAGGATGCTGTGCAGCCGTAATTATTGGTAATTGTAGCACCCTCGCTACACCTCCCCCCTTCTGGCTTATTCCCCGGTGCATTCCCACCTACCCACCCCCCTAAACTCCACCCTCCCGCGCCTACCCCCTTCTGCCCCCTTCCGTCCCCTTCCGTCCTCTGCCCCCTTGGCCCTCTCCCCCCCCTCCACCGCTTTGCCCTAACTTGTGGTTTCCTATGGTTTGTTATGGTTTTTGACCCCCCCCCAGATCGGCAGTTACGTGCCCGCTGAGAGCCTGCACCTCACCGTGTTCGACGGCGTGTTCACCCGCATGGGCGCATCGGACAACATCCTCCTGGGCAGGAGGTGGGGGGGTTTTCGGAGCGGGGGGGCTGGGGGGGCGGGGAGGGGAGGTTGTTGTGCATGGGCGGTTGCAACGGTTACTTACTTAACGTGCTAACTCATTATAAGTCTACGACAATGCAATACCTTGTGACACATGCGCATTTCTCCTTTCATTGACACGCTGTTTCTTCACCAACCGCCCACCTCCTGCAGTACGTTCTTCGAGGAGATGTACGACACGGCGCACCTGCTAGCAGCCGCCACCCCCCGGAGCCTTGTCGTACTGGACGAGCTAGGCCGCGGTACGGCAACCCATGATGGCGTGGCTGTAGCAGGTGCCGTACTGCATTACCTGATGTACCACACTCGCTGCCTCACGCTGTTCGTGACGCACTACCCTGAGCTAGCGGCGGAGGCGGAGGCGGCAGCAGCGGCTGAGGAGGAGGAGGAGCAGGGGACTGCAGAGGAGGGGAGGAGGAGGAGGAGGAGGAGGACGGAGGGACGGATTGCCGCCGCGTGTCACATGGCTTATTTACGTGAGGACGATTATGAGGAGGAGCAGGAACAGGTGCAGCCGCAGCAGGAGGAGGAGGAGGAGGAGGCAAGGGGAGGCAGCAGTGGCGGTGCAGGCAGAAGCGGCGGAGGAGGGGCAGAGGGTCAAGCAGAAGGAGAAGGAGGAGGGCGAGGGCAAGGCGGCGGGGGCAGCGAGCGGATTCCTCGCATCACGTTTCTGTACCAGCTGCGGGAGGGGGCGGCGGATGAGAGCTTTGGGCTCAACGTGGCTCGGGTGAGGGCTTGGGGGTGGGGGACAAAAAGAAATTCCAATGTGTGGTATGACTGTGGTAAAACAAGCTGGGGGTGGGGGGCGGGGGCTGCATGGGCGGTTGTGGTGTACCGAGCAATGAGGCGACGCAGCATCACCATGCCATGTGCAGGGGGCTACAACCTACAAGAGTGCCGGTATGGGGTGGAAACTGCATGCATGCTGTCCCCTGCCGCATGCATGCTGTCCCCTGCCGCATGCATGATGTCCCCTGCCGCATGCATGATGTCCCCTGCCGCATGCACCTCTTGCCGTGTCTTCCCGCTTGGCCACTACCACCCTGTTTCACGTACCCTCTATCCCTCCTCCTCGCCCTTCTGCGCCTCGTCCTCTCCTACCCACCTCTTCTCCCCTTTTGCCCTCCTCACCTCTTCTCCTCCCATCCTCCCCTGCCCTGCCCTCCAGATGGCCGGCCTGCCCCCCGCTGTGGTGCGGAGGGCGGCCCAGGTGGCTGCCGGCATGCGCCATCGCACCGCCCGGGAGGGGGATGCGGGAGGGGGGCTGCCCGGCAACGACAGCAACAGGAGCGGCGGCGGCAGCGGCGGAGGCAGCAAAAGCAATCATGAAGTACGACAGGAGCTCTTGGCTGTCGTACGACGGGTGGTTGGTGCGGTTGCAGCAGCAGCAGCAGCTGGGAAGGCGAGAGGCGGTGCAACGCAAGCGGAGGGGCTGTTGATGCTTGGGGAGGGGCCGGGGAGGGGTGTGAGGGATGGGGATGGGGATAAGATGGGGCGGCAGCGGCAGCCAGAGACGGAGGTGGGGCAGGAGGTGGGGCAGGAGGAGGCGGTTACGGGTAGTCTTGTGGCAGGAGGAGGAGCAGTAGCGGGAGGGGCAGGGTTACATGGGCGAGGAGGAGGGTCAGGGTTGGAGGGGGCTGCTGCTGGTGATGCTGCGGGGCGGCCTGCTGAAGCAGCGGTGTGGGGGCTGCTGCTAGGGCTGCAGCAGGAGGTACGGCAGCAGGAGGAATGACAGCAGGAGGAGTGGGATATACGGCAGCAGGAGGTACGGTGTAGAGGGGCATGGGGGTGAGCAGTAAGTGTGCGGACTGCTGGGGTTTGCGGCGCGGGAACAATTTTGCAGTGCATATTCCTCCCTTCGTGAAGTTGCAAGGTGTTTGCAAATGTGTGCGTCTTTTTGCTGCGAATTGCTGATTGACGACGTAAGCCTAGTTGTCACACTGCGTTGCATCGTGTTGGGTGGCGACAGGAGTGTAACTTTGCTAAAGTCGATGCTGATGGTAAATGGTGGTACGTTCGCCAAGCCAAGATGGCGACGATTGGAATCGCCAAGTCCGCACTGGCAAACCTAGCTTACGAACAACGTGTGTCCGTTTACTTATAAGCAGAACAGTTTGGGTACTGTTTTCGACATGTGCGTAACTTCGTAATGTGGCAAATGATGCCATCGGTATATATTTACCTATCTACCGTATCTAGCTTGCTAGAGCTTCCAGGTAAACTATGCGGCCCCCACTGCGTCTGCCGTTCGCAACAGCTAACTCACACTTCTGCTTAAATCATCATTTGTAAGGCCCCCGGTTTTGGGCCTACAGCGCTACTGGGAATACGGCAGCGAAAGTCTGGTCATAAGTACTCGCGATACCATGCTATATCGCCTAACTCTACTACCACAAGACCGGTTAGCATATACTTATTGCGGTTATGGCTTGGGTTCAAGGCTTTTCAGGAATATGAAGGCCACAAGGAATACTCGCCAACTCTCCGAAGTATAGTGAGCGCCGAGTCTTACGGTAAGTTATCTGTAAGCCTGAACTCTACAGCTCTGTAGATGTCGTCGTTTTGCGAAGGTCGGGGACGCTGAGCTTTGGCCGCTACAAAGCATCTTACCGACTTTCTTCGCAATCCACAGGTCCGCCTGCAGTAATCAACCCTTTCTAGAGACAGTAAGTGATTGCAGTAGTTTATTAGGACGGGTAGGGCGACATTCATCGTCGGCAGTTTTAGGGCTCAACCATGACGTTTTTATCACTACACGTATTATTTGCATCTATATGAAACTCTATGATAAGGAGAATCTTTGTAGCCCGAAGTTTATAGCGGCGCGTCGGGCACTCGCCGATTTGTCAATCCTGATGGCTCTGGTGCGTTGTCCCGAATGAGCTGCGCACCTTTCCTCCGACCCTATTTGCATAGGTCACCGCCTCAGACCGCAGCTTCAGGCTCCAACCAAGTAGACCAAATTATGCGGACGCGTCAACAGCTGGAGATGGATCCCAACCCAGATGCATGATAGAGCTTGCCGCGTTCCAAGGGCCCTGTAGAGGCAAGTCGCATTGGTTGCTTTGTACGCGGTGTGCTTTAGGGTTTTGAGCGCGGCTGCGGTTGGCTTACCATGTGTTGCTTTGGCATCCATTGCCTGTGGCGCCTCGTACCGCCTGCAGCCGTTCATGTTGTGTTGACGTCCACCGCATTCCACCCCTCCTTCTCACCATCACCCCCCTCCCTTTCTCCCTCCCCCTTCGCATGCCATGGGTCGAGACCCCTCCGCCGCCACCACAGCTTTCGTGGACCTGGCGTAGTTGGGGACGGATGACAGGACGGCACCTCCACCTTCAATAAACACCACGCCAAGACCGCCTCCGTTACCTCCACCCTTCATCACGTTGCCGCCGGCCCCTCAAGACCGACGTCGCTTACGTTACCAGACCGCCTCCGCCGCCTAACCGCCATAGCGGTTGTCCTTCACGGGTCACAAGTAAGTTGGCTTGGTGGCGCAGTTGTCACTCTACATGCGTGGGTAAGCTCGGGGCCTGTCGTGAACCCTTCCATGCGATACGCCGTTGGATAGTCCGTCGTTGGGTAGTGGGCGCACCAGTGTTGTGCCTAGCTGCGTTGTCTGGTTGGCGGTGGATTTGGGGTAGGTGGTGCAGCGGTTACTATTGTCGCTGCTGTGCTTGTCTTCCTGCATGCTGCTGGGTTGATGTTGGGTTGACGGCATTTCCGTTAGGCTGAAGGCATCACTGGTGCGGACATTGTTACCACTTCATGTTGGCGCCGGGTTTTGCGGCGAGATTAGCTGTTCATTGGGCGATATGATAACGCTGACAGACGCTGGGGCATTAGGGATAGGCGGTGGCGTGATTTAACTGTTGTGGTACAAGCAGCAGCGGTAGTTAGCAAAGCGAGAAGGTTCAGGGAGCTGAAGGGCTGCAAGGGAGACTCCTGCGAAGATGGGAGGTGGGGGAATGCAGGCGCTACAGATGTGTTTGCTGGTGTCCTGCCGCTTGTCATGCTGCGTAGGGGATGGTCTTATGGCGGTGGCGCCGCTCTTGGGGTTTCATGGATATGCTAGGGGCTTGATGTGTTGTGAGCATGACAGGCGGCGAGTTATGCTGGTTGATTGCTATGTTGCTCCTTATAACCTCTGCAGAGCCCAGCTGCTCCCAGCTAGCTCGCTCGCAGCCCAGCACCTGATGTACAACACGGCTTGGGGGCGGACGGGGTGGGTCGGCCACATGCGCCTCAGCGACCCACCCCAGTCAGGCCAGATGTCTCCCTTCTCGTAGGGCCTACACAGCACAGCACAGCACGCAAGGAACCCCTCACCAGCAGCCAGCTAGTACGCAGATGTTGTTAGCCGCAGCCAGCTTGTACGGTGACAGCCTTACCGGCAGCCTTTAGTGACATTGAAGCCCCGTACCAGTTCATGCCAACAGCTGTAGCCCTTTTAATGCGGTCCATTTGGGGGTCAGTACCTAGATTAAGAAGGGAAGAAGGGAAATTGGGCAAAGATGTAAAGGGGACATGGAGGACGGGAAGAGGTAGGTGGGGGCGGAAGGCGGGAAACGTAGGTGGAGGGCGGATGTGGGAAGGAGGGGAAGGTAGGGGGCGGGTGCGTGGAGGAGAGGTAGGTAAGGGGCGGGTTCGGGGAAGGAGGGATGGTAGATAGGGGCGGGTGAGGGAAGGAGGGGTAGGTAGGGGGCGGGTGCGTGGAGGAGAGGTGGGTAAGGGGCGGGTTCGGGGAAGGAGGGATGGTAGAGGCGGGTGTGGGAGGGTGGGGTAGGTAGGTAGGGGCGGGTGTGGGAGGGTGCGGGGAGGAGGGGTAGTAGGTAGGGGTGAGGGAGGTGGGGCGGATGTGGGAAAGAGGGGTAGGGGCAGGTAGGGGGCGAGGGTATCCAATGGTAGGACAGCACGGCAGCCTACTGCATCTGGGCTCGTTGGATGTCCTATTTAGGGAGACTGCGTACCTTACCTAAGAGTGAATTTGTACGGGAGATATTATGTGCCGCGTGCCCGGGTACCAGCATCCACGCCTTAAGAACGATGCAGAGTACAGTCACTCCTAACGTAAGGAACCGGCGCAGAGTCTTTCGAAATGGCCGGCCCACGCCATTGTTAGACACTTTATGACCGGGAATGCGATTCCGTGCTGGGTTATGAATGCCAAACGCGCCACTGTGACGAACCCTGGACGCCAGGAATGGTCCTGACAGAAGGAAGACCCCAGGGGCACACAGACGAAGCGCAGTTATGCCTCTCTGAAGCTGCCTATGTGTCAAATCATAAGCTCTGTCCCACGTCGACAGACACAAACAAATTCCCGTAGTGCTTTCCCACCAAACTGTAAACGTCAGTTTCTCTTTTGGGACAGACTGGGACTGGTGTTGCCACTATTCTACTATAAAATATATTCGTTAACGCACTCTGTGCGAGGCGCTGCGCTGGAAGGGAGGAGAGACGGGGCTTGTGCGCTTGCTGTCTGGGAACGGTAAACTGTACGGTTTGCGCGATCGGCTTGCAAGCGTCCCCCGCAACTGTAGCAGCATTGCAGACCGTGCATACCCATACTGCACATTTTCATAAATGAAAATATTGCTTCGACTTCACACTTTGTAGACTTTAACGGGATGTGCAGTGAACTCTTACCACAGAGGCGGAAATTGTGGAGTCGCATGTTGGCGACAATATAAGCTTTGCAAAGATGAACCTAAGCTACGGGTTGGCAACGGCTGGCTGCAAGCAAGCATGACAAACATTCTTCTCGCGCTAGCGTACATCGCGTTTGCGTGCACTTTTGGAACTGCGTTGCCGTCATGCGACAACACCACCAGCGCAGGGAGCTCATGCGTGGCGTCGCTGGTCAGGGACATCCTTGCTGTGCCCGGGTGAGCTTGAATATACGACTAGCTGTCAGAAAATCTGCGGTTTGTCGCCGCTGTGTGATACACAGCACGAACTAAGCTTGCGGCACTTCTACGCGGCTCTCCAGTGCTCGGTTGCATTCTGCTGTTTAGGCACGATTGCTGTGCGGCAAAAGCGTAGACCCGTATTGCACGTTAACATGACCGCGTCATCATCACGGATGTCTGCGGCACTATAGCTGCTTCGGCAAACAGCAAGTCAAAAGCAGTACAGCTTCGTGTATACGGCTGGCTTCGCAAAGTGCCTCGTAGCCCGGACACCGGGCGGTTTGGACTGATACTGAAGGAAGCCGTCCGCACGTGGGAGGGAGGAGGAGTTCAAGCATGGATCCATAATTAGCTGCGCACAAATCGGAAGAAGTGGCTGGTGTGATGTGGCGTTGCGAGCGCTCTGACACTCAGAGCCCGGTTGGCCAGGACGCATGCTGCGGAGCAGGATCGCCCCAGCGTGCCTCCTCCGAGTCCCCTCCTTCCCCTTCCCTCTCTCCCTAACCCCATCCCCCGCCTTACCCTCCATGCGCCCTCCTGCCTGGTCCCCCTCGTGCTCCCCTCTGCTCCGCAATCTGCAGGGTGAATGTGAGCTCTGGCGGCTCCAGTCCCCGAGGGGCGGTGGAGGGAGCGGTGGGGACCTTCCTGGGGCAGTGCCTGGGGATGCAGGCGCCTACTCTCAGGGTGAGGGGGCGGAGAGGATGCAGCCGCACGTGTGACGAGGCAGGAATTCCCCAGGGGCCAGCAGGGGGCGGTGGGGGCCTTCAGCGGGCGGGGGGCCTGGGAGATGGAGGGCTGGAGGGGCAGGGGACGCAGAGGGTGTGCGCGGGTAGAGGGTTGGGCGTGCAGGTGGGTGGGAGGGGTGGGTGCTTAGAGCGCTTGGAGATTGCAGGTGCGGGTGGGGAAGGGATGCAGGCAGCGATGCGGGTTAAAGCGCGCCGGATGCAAACTGGGGCCAAGGGTGTTGCGGGGCTGGTCTGGAGGGTAGGGCTGTATCAGTGGCATTCCGCGGCTGCAACCTTGGTGCCGCTAGGCCTCAAGTGCTCCCCCCCCTCCCCCCTTCCTTCTGCTCCTTCTGGCGTCCCCATCCCCTCTCTCAACACACCCCTCCCTCCCCCTCTCCCTCCTCGCCCCCCACTCCCCACCCGCCCCCCCCCCCCAGCCCGTCAACATCCAGCTGATGATCCAGTCGCAGGGCCGGGGTGCGGAGGTGCTGGCGGGGCTCATGGAGCGGCAGACGGGCTTCCAGGCCAACATCAGCTACAAGGACATACCCGAGGTGGGGGGGGGCGTGGTGGCATGGGGGGGGGCGCAAGGGCAAGGTGGCATGGAGGAGTGGGGCTGGGGAAAAGGAGAGAGTGGGGATGGGGAACAGTGGGTTGGCAGGGCCGGTCAGGGGGACAGCGGCACTCTTCTCCTTACCTTCCTATGCCTATACCTGATCATTTCCCCGAGGTAATTATCTATCCTACAAACCCAACCCCTTCCTCCCTCCTCCAAATACAACCTCTTCCCTCCTCCCCTCCCGTGTCCTCCCCTCCTCCTCCCTTGCAGCTCACCCCCGCCATCCTCTCCGCCCTGCTCCTTCCCAGCGGCCAGCCCAACCCCGCCCCCTCCCTGGACGGTTTCGCCTTCGACCCCTCCGCCGTGGTTGACCTCACGGCGCTGGGCGCACTGGCGCCCCTGGAGCAGTTCGTGCGGGAGGACCCGGAAATAGAGTGGAGCGATGTGATGCCGTTCTTCAGACAGGTGCGGGGGGTGGGGAGGAGGAGGGGACAAAGTAGACCAAACCATAAGAAACCACAGAAGGGCAAACGACTGGGGACTGGGAGAGGGGGAGGAGAGAGGTATATGAGCAACTGAGTGATAGGCAGCCAGGACAGGCGGGAGGGTGGGCGGGAGAGGAGGAAGGGAGGGCGTGGGAAAATGAGAGGGAGGGAACGTGACGCAGGCACCCGAGGAGAGGGAGGAAAAGTAGAGGACGTGGGCTGGACGGTGGGGCGATGTTTAGGTTGGGGTTGGGTGTGTGGGGTATAGGGTGGTTGGTCAAACAGCGGCAGAGGGTGAAGCTGACAGAATGCAGCCCTGCACTTGGAGGGTGAGGAGACACATGTGGGGGTACCGGCCGTTCTTAGGAGCGGCCTGCTTTTGGACATCTGGACAGCCCCTCTCCCTTCCAGTCCTACTGCAGCTCCTGATACCGCTGCTTGTCCCGCCGGCTGCTCCCCCCCCCCCACCCCTCCGCCGGCTGCTTCCCCCCCACCTACTCGGGATACCGGTATGGGATTGGGACTCCAGTTACTGCACTGTTTTATGGTTTCCCTCCCCCCCCGCCCGCCCCCAGGTCGCCACCATCTATGACGGGCACCTGGTGGGGGTGCCCTTCACGGGTCAGGTCAGCGTGCTCTACTACCGCAAGGTGAGGGGGGGGGGTCAAAGACCATACCGAACCATAGGAAGCCACAGGTTGGGGCAAGACAGGCTGGGGGGGGGCCCGATGAGGGGAGGGATAGGGAGGGGGGGACGAAGCGTGTGACATGCTGATGACCCCGGCGATGAGGCTCCACCATGGGGCTGGGGGGGGTGGAAAGACGGACTTGTGGTGAGGCTAGTCCATAAGGCTGGGTGGGACGCGCGGCGCCAGGGTAGGGCGGGGAGGTGCGCGGAGGTGTAGAGGTTGGAAACGCATCTCCACAGATGGGAGGAGGATGGCAGGAGGAGGGTGCAAACCACGTCTAAGTACACCCAATTTCGATTTGCCATTCCTTGTCGTCATGCTGTGCCAACCCCGACCTCACCCTCCTGCGCTCCCTGCCTGCTCGCCGCACACACCCTCTCCATCTACCACTAGTTTACCACTACCACACCACACATTGGATACTCTTCTTTGACTCCGCAGGACGTGCTGGCCGTTGCCGGTGCCCCGGTTCCCTCCACCTGGGAGGAGCTGCTGGCAGTGGCCTCCGCCGTGAATGGCAGCGACTTCAACGGGGATGGCAAACCCGACTACTCCATTTGCTGGTAGGGGGGATGGAGGAGGGGGCTGGCAGGGAAGGACGGTGTGAAACGGCAAGACGTGCTGGTAGGGGAAAAGGGGTTTGATAAGCAAGACGTTGGAAAGCTGTTCTGGTCGGGATAGAGAAGAGGAGGTGGGAGTGTGTGGCAAGGGGGCATGGGAGCTGTCGTACCTCCCTCCTCCCTGCATCCACGCAGTCCAAGGGCCGCAACCCCAACGTGCTCCTCTCCTCGCTCCCCTGTTCCCCCCCCCTCCCCCTCCCTCCTCCTCGCCCCCCCCCTCCCAGGCAGGTAGAGGACTGCCTGGAGTCCTCCGCGGTGATGGTGCAGGTCCTGGCGCCCCTGGTCCAGTCCATGGTAGGGGCGCAGCATGGGGGTCGGCATGGGGGTCAGGATGGGGGCCATGCCGGCGCAGGCGGCAGGGGGTGGTGGTGGAGGTAGGCGGGTGGTAGGAGGCACATGGAGCCACTTCCCTCCCCTTTTCACACATCCCGTGCTCCTTCCCATGCCAGCCCATGCTACGGGGATGCCCGCACACCTGACGCCCCATCCCTCCCGCTGTCAGGGTACGGCACACGGCTGGTTGTTCGACCCATGGGACATGCAGCTGCTGGTGAACAGCACCGCCATGAAACGGGCGCTGGAGCTGTTTCAGGGGCTGCAGGTGCGTGTCTGGGGGTCGCTTGGAGGACGTGGTGTGTGGTGTGGGCACGGAAACGGGCCGCGAGTTGGAACGGACTGTGCTGGTGGGGTTGGAGGGTGTGGGGTTGCATGGATTGGAGGGGTGAAGAGGTGTACAAAACCACAGGTTAGGGCAAAGCAATGGGGATAGAGGAAAGCAGTTGATCGCGGAACAATTGGGGGGTGTCTACTGGTGTAGTTGTATAGTGGTGCAAGTTCTTGCGCGCATGCAGATGAAGTGGGGTGTGTAGCATGTCTGTATATGGCGATATGGAGTGATGGGGTGGCAGGCCTGGTAACTGCATGCATGGGCGGTGGGGATTAGATAAACTGAGCCGCGAGAAACCACTGACCGTGACCATAGGATGACCCGTTGGCGTCCAGCAGAAGATAGCAATGTGGCTTATACGTTGATGGTAAAGTATCCAGGGAATGAAAAGTGTAGGGTACTATTAGATACCAGTAGTAAGCGCAGCCCGTAGGTTGGAGTAGCTGGCAGTAACGTCGGTAAATGGAATCGTCGCGTAAATCGAGGAGGCTACTGTAGTAAATTTGTAGTAGGTGATAGCTGACTGTTGACGACGGACAAAAACACGGGGCCATGCGGAAACAACGCCGTGGGTGCGACAAGTAACAAAACAAGTGCAAGACACCTAAATGCAAGTGCTAAGTACCGTAGACTGACCTGCAGAGCAGGGATAACCAGCAGCCAGCAGCGAACACACCAGGCGTTAGTACCGAAGAAGGATGTCGGAAACCATGCGAGGGCAAATGGAAAACAGGGACACACGTGAGCACGTTCGGAACTACCTAGGGACCTAAGCTACCTAACTATAAAAGAAAGACGAGTGACAGAAGGATATATGGGATGCGATGGCGATAATGTCGTACAAGTGGGGTGGGGGAAGCAGACTGGGAGAAGAAGGATGGGAATCGGGGCTCACGCAGAGCTCCCCACAACACCACACCCCGAGTGTGCAATAAGCGGTGCACACCAGGGGGAGGCATGGTGCGGATGGTATGCGATACAGGCAGGCAGGATGAGGATGAAAGCAACCCGATAAACGCCACCACCCCATGGAAACGTAGCCTGGATGTTCAAGGTGTCGTTGTCTGGGAGGGCACTGCACGCATGTGCACAAGCAACTATCCACTCTCCCTTCCCTCCTCGCCCATCCCTCCCTTCCTGCATGTCCCCCAGTCCGTGACTTACCCGGGGCCCCGCTGTAACCTGGCTCACATGGAGTTCGTGATGGGTGCATGCGCCTTCACAGTCAAGTGGAGCGAGCAGTTCAAGGTGGGGCAGGGGGAGCGGAGGGAGCCACAGGAGGGGGGGCAGGAAGCAGGAGATCACATACCTGGTCCCCAAGTTGCGCCCAACATACGGGTATTGCAGCACTGGTTATCTGTTACATGCGTCGATCGACATCATGAAAACTCCTCGACCCTTTCCCGCTCTCGCCCCTAGGTAACCGACTACTATGTGAAGGCCCTCCGCGGCCGGGTGGGAGTGGCGCAGCTGCCGGGCTCCACCCACGTGTTGGACCGAACCACGGGTCAGTTGGTCCCCTGCACCGCCAGCATCTGCCCCTTCGCCCGCACCGAGCAAGATGCCAGGACGGGGCAGGCTGTGCTGGTCAACCGGGCGCCGCATTTCGGGTTCGGGAGCTTCTCCGGGGCTGCGAGGCGGAGTGCGGATGCGGGCTACCAGCAGGCGGTGTACCGCTTTTTCGCCAACCTGGCTAGCAGGGACCTCAGCTGGACGGTGGGTAGGGTGGGGTTGTTGGAGGATGGAGCGGGGTTTAAACGTTTGAGCAGAGGATGGTGTCCATATACCGGTAGACACGTTGTTGGGCATATCGATACAAGGTTACATGGGATACATGGGCTTCGATACAAGGTTAGGTTAAGGGGGCATCAACAAGGTTCGTGCCCGGTTGTCTCCTACTTGCCCAAACGTCTCCGACCTGCGCCTCGTCTTCTCCGACCCGCCCGGCCCTCCCTCCTCCCACCTGCCGCATACCTCCCGCCGTGACGCCCACGCAGTTCGTGTTGGATCCTAGTTCCCCCGTGGGCCCCTTCCGCTACTCGCATGTGGACACGGCAAACATACACAGGTGGGTGGGCGGGTGGGTGGCTCCCAATTGCTTGCTCTTGTTCTACTCAACTACACGCGTGCTCTTAACACACAGGAGGGTCCGCCAACGCAGCTTTCCAAACCACCCGCAACCTCTACCGCTTATTTTCCGCATTAACTTCAAATGCGTATACGCTTTACTTGCTAGCTAGCTTGCTGACCTAAAGCTACAACGCTGCTCTCAGCGTGCAGGACCCCCCCCCCCGCAATCCTGCTTAACTGGTAGAGTTGGCAGCTAAACACCTCCGCCGATCCGCAATTTGTCACAAGCAAACTACCAGTATACGCCATTACGCTGCCTACAGGGCACCTCCGCATGATCACACGTGCCGTTAAAAACAACGGTCGGTGTAACCGGGTTTACCCTTTCCACGCAGGTGGGTGGAGGCCGGGTACGACGGCAACGACACCGTTGAGTTCCTGGCCGCCTGGAAGGAGAGCCTCGTCAACCCCAACCTGGCCCTAGACATCCGCATCCTGGACTCCTTCAAGTACAGGTACGTGAGGGGGGGGGGGCTGAAACCCGCAAATGCAGGAATCCCACTGCGATGGCACGACTTATCAAGGAACTCTAGACTCTGCTAATCTTGTAGTAAAGCACACGCCATCCCTTCGTCCGTGCTGGGGTGAGGGGTGAGGCGTATTGGGGGGGGGGTGCACGTGTGGGAAGCAGACTGGGACGGCTTGCTAGACATTGGCAATTCAACTGGGAGCGTGAATTGCCAATGCCTAGCAAGCCGTCCCAGTCTGCTTCCCTTTCGCACCCCTTCCCTTTCTATCTACATACCTCCGCACGTCTTCCCCTTCCTCCCTATCTTTCCTTTCCCCGCGCCCACCCACCCACCCACCCACCCCTGGTTGCCCCTCCCCCCTTCCAGATCCATCCTGGGTGACGCCGCGACCAACATCTCCCGCAACCTCTCCACCCCCCTGGACGAGCTCTTCACCGCGGTCGTGCATCAGATGGCCCTGGTGCTGGCGGAGAGTGGCGGGGTGGACAAGGTGGGAGGCGGGAGGTGGGGGAGGCCAGAGGGAGGGGAAGGCAAGGAGGACGAGACGAGGCGAGGCGGTGATCGGGATGCGGAGCCTCATACCGTGTGTTGTACCGCATCCCGATGCCGTTGAGTACGGCCCTTGCTTTGTGGCACCCCGCCGCGCCGCACCCCCCTTCCTATTGTCTTCTCCTTGCGCGGTTTACACCATTCGGAACGCGTTGTGGGTTCTCAGCCCCCTCTCTGTCCCTCCCCCTGACCTCCCGCAGGTCCGTGCCGCCTACCGCACCGCCCTGGGCTACTCCTCCTCCACCCCCCCACCGCCTCCGGAGCTCTTCATCGCTCACCCGCCTCCCGCGCCCGCCCCGCCGCCTCCCGCCTCGTCCTCCGGCCCCTCTACGCTAGGAGCAGTGGCAGGGGGGACGGTGGCGGCAGTGGTGGCGGTGGTGGGGTTGCTGAGCTTGGCGGGGTACTGGCTGTGGGCCAGAAGCCAAGGGTAAGCGCCGCTGGGGCAGCATGACGTTCTCATGTGTGGCCAGATGTGGAGTTCACAACCTGTGGAATATCGGTGTGCCGCTGCTGCTGCTGGTTTCCTCATTGCCATGCTCGCCAACGTGGTTCCACAAACCGCTTTCTCACCCGACCCAACCCCGGCCCTCCCCTCCCTGCCGTCCAATTCTTTTCCACCTTCCAAACCCTCTTCGCTGCTTCTTCCCCCTCCCCTTCCCCCAGTCGCGGCCTGCTGGGCTCCACGCTGCCCCCCAAGCCCGGCCCCGAAACCACGCTGCTGGTGGCCTGCCTGCCCGACCTGCCGCTGCTGATGAGGGAGCTGCCGGAGCCGCTGGTTGCACGGTGGGCGGGGGTGCGGGGTAGCGGGGTGGGTTATATGGTGCAGGGGCTGTAGGGGTGGACATGCATACATGCTTCCCACCTGCTCCATGCACCCAACACTAAACAGTCCCTTCTGTCCTCTTCCTGCCTTCCTCCTTCCACGCATGCATCGCTGCCTACAGGGCCCTATCGCAGTACCTCGCCTTCATGCGACGCTTGCTAAAGCAGCACAAGGGCTATGAGGCGCTAGCCGCACCAGCAGCAATCCAGCAGGCGGCTGCCGGTGGTGACAGCGGAGGCTTGGGTGAGCCGGTTTTCGCTGCTGGCGGCACCGCCCGAGCCAGCTCTACCCTAGGCTTGACGGCTTTACATGGCGGCGGCGGCGGAGGCGGCACTAGTGGCGGCGGTAGCGGCGAGGAGGCGGACGAAAATTTCGGCCCCACTCGACAAGTCAGCAGCGTCCCCGTAATTGGTGCCGCGGCGGCGGCGGCGGCCGCTGTCGCCGCGACGGAAGCGGCGGTTGACGCCGCCGTCACCTCTGCCGCTGCATCGGAAATGGCAGCGGTGGCGACGGCGCCGCTTGCGCCGAACAGCGCTTTCAGGCTTGGTGAATTAGCAGGCGAGGGTTGGTTCATGGTTTGCGCCTTCAGTACGGCACGAGATGCCGTACGGTTTGCTGCGGCGGCGCAGCAGGGCCTTATGCGGCTGGACTGGCCGTCGCTGCTGTTAGAGCACCCGGCCTGCATGCCGCTGTACGCGCTGTCGGCTGCCGTACTCTCTAACCATCCGACACGCCTCCACAGCACGCAGCCGTACGGCAACACCAGCGGAGGTGGAGGCGACGGTGTCGGCCGGGTTTCAGAGCCGTCCCCTGGGCCCCCCCATGCCAAACTCAGCATTGCAAGCCCAGCTTACTACAACAACAGCAGTCATCACAACCCCAGTAACCCCTCCATGCACAGTCTCATACCGCATGGAACCTATCACGACCGGGGAGGGCCTGGAGGCGGCGGCAGCGGTGGTGGTGGTGGCGGTAGCGTAGCAGCGGCAACATGCGCTGGCGTCGATGGTTCTTCCGTACATTCCGTGCATGCCGTACATCATGTAGTGCACACCGTACATGCTGGCGCTGCAGCGGTTAGCTGTAGTAGACCGTCCGGTGCCGCCCCTGTGGGAGATCCCCACCTGCCGCCTGCTCGACCCAAGCCGGAACGAGGTGGGAGACGTCGAGTTACCATCATTTTCAATAATATGTGCACCCTGTTGCAAATGTTATGCCACATGCCTCACTGATACCCAGCCGCTTGCTGCTCCCTCCACCCTGCCCCTCGCGTCCTTTCGTCCCCCGCTTTCATAGCTCCCCATGTACCATTCTACGTGTACTCATCGTTCCCTTCCCACGCCCTTCGCCAACATTCTACCCGCCCCGCACCCCCCCGCCCCGCCCCTCCCTGCCCCTTCCCCAGGCACCAGCGCCATCGTGCGCTCGCTGCTGGCCCGCCGGCACCGCGTGCTGGACCTCTTCCACACTGCCGGCAGCAGAGGGGGCAGCGAGGCGCCCTCGCGCTCGCACAGCTCCTGCCAGTCCATCATGAGGACGAATGGGGAGGTGCAGTCGCTGTACAGCAGTCGCGGAGGCGGCGCGGGAGGAGGAGGAGGAGGAGGAGTCGGGCTGTCGCCTTCGCTGTCGCCAGCGCTGCGAGGAAGACCGGCGGCTGGTGTGGGGGTCCAGCTGGGAGCAGCAGCAGCGGCAGCGGGGGGCAGTACGTGTGTGAGTGGCGGCGGTGCAGCTGCCGGGGCGTTGGCCGGGGCTGCTGGCTCCTCATATGACGGCAGCCCCCAGCAACAACAGCTCCAGCAACAGCAGTCACAGGTGGAAACCCACCGGCAGAGCGCATCGGGTGTCCGCTTGGAGCTTCATTCGCCGTTACTGCCGTGGCCACCGGCGCGGGCGCAGCAGCGGCAGCCGCTGCTGCTACCGCAGCAGCCGCAGCGATATCAGACGCAGTTACCACCACCTTCACTACAACAGCAGCAGCAACAGCAACAGCTGCGTCATCAGAACTCCTCGCCACTCGTGGAGACCCCATGCCAGCCCCATGCCGCCATAAGCGGACTAGCCGCCAACCTTCAAGCCAAGAGCTTCACGGTTGACCGAGCTGGTTACTTCCCGCATCCCTTTTCCACCGCAGTCGCCGCTGCTAATGCTGCCGCCGCTGGCGGTTTACCTTCTCTCGCCACGGCTCAGCCACCATGGTCTAACGCCTCCTCCCCCGCGGCATGGGTGACGGAGCTACCAGACCCCCTCGGCGGCACCTCCGCCGCCGCCTCCTCATCCGTCGCAACGTCGCGAACCCCTTCCTTTGCTGTGCGCTTCCGTGCACTCAACTTCCTGCCAGCAGCCGCCAGCCCAACGGCAGCTAGTGGCAGCGGCAGCGGCACGCCTCCAGTCGGCAGTGCTCGCAGCAGCCGTGGTTTGCATTTGTTGTACGGGCGGCGGACATTGGGTCTATGCCCGGCTACGTCACCCGGTAGCAACGGCGGAGGCGGTGGCGCGTATCGTGCTAGCACCCCACAATCCTTCCTTGCAGTCACCTCCGCCGGTCCACCTGTCAGGGCGACTTCAGTGACGGCGGTGGCTCGTGCCGGCGCATCTGGCGCAGTGCAAATGACGACGGGAGGTGGCGGCGGCGGCGGTGACGGCACAGTGGCGATGGCCAATACCTTCTCTGACTTGCAGATCATTAGCTCGACAAGTCCGCTCGAAGGAGCGTCGGGAGGCAGTTTTCCCTTGACTACGTCGCACCATCTGACGTCCATACAGTTGTCATCTATGGAGCACCAGCAGCCGACGTTGACGGCGGCGGTGCCTGCGTCCGTCGCCACAGCCGCTGTTGCGTCGGAACAGCAGCATCAGCAGCATCCTCCCGCCTCGACAGCGACGTTGGTGGCGGCAACGCATGCGGCGGCGGCGGAAGGTACGGCACCCGCAGCCGTCACTAATGCCAGCGTCGCCGCCAGCGGCAAGTCTGTGAGCAACAAATCCGGCGGCGGCGGGCCGTTGCAAGTTGTACGAATGGCCGAGTACTACCAAGTTGCTTTTAAAATAGTCAACGCCCTGGGTCAAGTGGCGTCATCCTACATAAGAGGGGCTGAGGGCGGTGCTGCCGGCGCCGCCAACGCTGCTGCTAATGCTGCCGCCGACCCTGCTGACGGCGGCGGCAACCGGGAGCTCAGGGACCCTTCAGGACGTGTCTCGCTGCAAGGCGGGGCCGTGATTGCGAGCACTGCCAGCCCCAATGACGCCAGTGCCAGCGGCGCCGCTGGCAGTGCTGCTGGCGGTGGCGGTGACGGTGGCATTACTGCCGGTGGTTTACTCGTCGTGGCTAGCCGCGGGACGGAGAGTGGCGCCGTAACGCTACTACCTCCCGCCGACCCGGCAGTGGCAGTTGCCGTCACCCGTGACGCTGGAAGTAATGCTGGCTCCGCCGCCGCCGCCGCCGCCGCCGCCACTGCCGGCGGTGGCGGCAGCCCGCTTAGTACACGCGACCTGGCTTCGTCCTCTTTGTTCTTGGCGCTGCATCAGAACAGCGGCGGCGGTGGCGGCGGCGGCGGCTACTGGCGCTCTAACACACAGCAGGGTATGCTGGCACCATCCGCGCCTACCGGTAACACACACGGGTAAGCGGTGTCGCACTCGCCATCTCCAATGCTTTCTCTTCTGCTTTCTTTCATTTGCTTTCCTTCGCAATTGCCACTGCTTTCTTTACTCAGCCCCTAATTCTGTGTACCACCAGGGACCTTGATCACGCTGTGTTCCTCTGGTGCCCTGCAGTAGCAATCTCTTCCGCTCGCGTTCTGGCGGCCACATCGCATGGCGCTCGCGCTTCTCCAGGCATGCAACCACAGCTGCTGTTGCCACCACCGACGGCAGCGGCGGCGGAGGCGGTGGAGGCGGTGAAGGATTCTCCAGGTTAGACGCACCTACACACCTGCAAGCCGCCACCACACCCGGCGGCGTCGGGAGCAACAACATGCGCCTCCGCATCAGCGGCGGTGGCAGCGGGTGTGCTACTAGTACTGGCGCGGGGTACCTTAGCGGCGCCAGTCGCCGCGTCAGCGCCGGAGGCGGCGGTAGCGCGCTTCATTCTCCCACTACAACATGGTGGGGAGCGTTACGTCGCATGGTGACCGTTACGTCGCTCTCAGGGTCGCTTTCTTTGGCGGGCGGCGGCGTGACGGGGGCTCCAGATTCCCCTGCGTCCGCACGTACGGCGGCGGCGGCGGAGGCGGCGTCACAGACAGAGGCCATGCTGCGAGAGGCCGGGGTACTGGTGCAGAGGTGAGGAATGGGAGACAAGAAAGACATTGAGGGCACTTAAGTAAGGGGTTGTAAGGGCGCCGGTAGGAAGCGTGGGGAATACCGACAGGATTGAAGAGCAGGTGGGCTTTGCGAAGGGAAGGCAAAGCTGTGGGCTGGTAAGTTGCTGGAAAGATCAGAAACGGACCGCAAGCTTAACGAACTGCATGTGCGCCCTGCCCAGGATGTTGTAACATAACTCAGCGTAAGGGGTCCGAACCAACATGCCCACCGTTGCTTCGTCTCCCCTGTCTGCGTGTGCTGACAAACGCGTACCCGTGTACCGCAGGGGCTTGCGGGTGTGCATGGGCCTGAGTTCCGGAGTGGCCTCACGACATGTCTCCTACACTCGTACGGCAAAACGTGTCCAGTACGGCGGTCTTACACTTCAGATCGCACGTGATCTGTCGCACGCGGCCTACGGCACAGCTTCACGTGTGCTGCTGAGCGGCGGTTGTTACAAGCAGTTGGGTGCTGGCAGTCCGGATTTCAACCGTACATGTACGATTCTAAACATTGGGGAGTACCAACTGCTTCAGCCGTGCAGGATTCCACGTCCATTGGACTTGTACATGGTAGGAGCGATGTGATGTGGTGGAAGCGGTGCAGGACTAGTAATGGAGCCCGGTTTCGGACAAGTGCACGTGCCGTGTTGCGCTGTGCACCTGACGCACCCTGTTGTGTGCTTATGCCTTGCACCCTGTGTCTCCAACCGTTAACTGCTGGTTAACGGTTACCACGCCACGTCCTGCCTTCCTTCACGCTTTTCCTTCCGCATCTCGCCCGCCCGCTCTCCGCCCTCTCTGACCCCCATGTCCTGCCCCAACCCATGCAGCCGCTGACTCCCCTCCCGCTCTGAACCCCCCTTCCCATGCAGCCGCTGACTCCCCTCCCGCTCTGAACCCCCCTTCCCATGCAGCCGCTGACTCCCCTCCAAGGCCCCTGCCTGGCGGCCCACACGCGGCCCCGTGGCGCGCTGCAGACGCAGGGCGGGGTGATGGAGGCGCCCGTGGGAGACGTGACCATCGTCTTCGCCTACGTAGTGGGGGTCAGCACGCTGATGGCCTGGGACCTGGTGCGTGCGTTCGGGCACTGGGAGAGGGGCGTCGAATGCGGGCCGCTCGGGGACAATGCGCTGCCGTACGTTGTCCATTTCTTTCCCTCCCTGACCCCTCCTCCAACTCCTCATTGCCTGTCCCCACTCCTTACATCGCCACGGGTCACCACGGGCCTTCACCGTAAGGCCACCCCGTAAAGTCGCCACGGGTTTCCACTATCATTACCAGCTAGGTCCTATTCTTATACCTTCTTTCCCTCCCCCCCCCTCCCAGGCCGAGGCCCAGTCGGCGGTGTCTCTGCTGCAGAGCACTGCCTGCCGGCAGCTGGCCGCGTTCGGTGGCTACCTGGTTGAGCTGGCGGACGGGCTGTGTCTAGCGGCCTTCCAGCAGCCCGCCGCGGCGGTGCGGTGGGGGCTCACGGTGCAGTCGCGGCTCATGCACGCGGACTGGAGCCCGCGGCTGCTGGAACACGAGCTGTGCGAGCCGGTGAGGGGAAGCAGGCGGTGTGGGTGGGGGGGAAGGAAAGCAACTGAGGTGGCTGTGAGAAGGGCTGGAGGGCGGCAGGTTGGGGGTGTCGAGGCTTGAGGGAGCACGGGCTGTGTGATCCGGTCACAGGTGTGTTATTGAGGGATGTATATTGGCTGGGCGGCTTGGGGGGATGAAGGCCCCGGCTAGCACTTCATTGCGGCTAGCATCTCCAGCGTCCCGTTTGCATGTCCAGGATCGCAACTTCTTTACCCATCTTCCCCCCTTCCTCTCCCACCCAGGTCCTAGTCTCCGACGTGCGAGGCGGCGACGGCGGCGACTCGGCCTACTCCCACCTTTCCCCGCCCCACTCCTCGCACCCGCAACTCAGCCCCAACCCCGTACAACTCCCATCCCCGTCGCCTCATCCCCAGCCCCAGCCCCAGCTATCATATCCCCCTAGTAGCGCACTGCAGCAAACCGGGGCCCATGCAGGGGCCAATGGCGGCGGCACTCACAGTAGCGGCGGCGGTGGCGGCGGCGCCAACGCACTCCCCCGCACGCTGAACGCCGGCCGCTCCATGGCCCGCAGCGGCAGCGGCAGCGGCTGCCACTTCATGCGGGTGCTGTATCGCGGGCTGCGGCTGCGTGTGGGCACGGACGTGGGGCCGGTCAAGGCGGAGATCAGCGGCGTCACGGGGCGGGTGGCGTACAGGGGCAAGACCATGAACCGCGCGGCACGCATTGCAACAAAGGCGCCGGCGGGACAGGTGTGGTGGGGATGGGTTGTAGCATTGGTACCGGATATTTCCTGCTACGTGTTTAGTTTTCTGCTTGCCCTCCCCCATCGTTGCTTCCTCCCGTGCTGGCATCCGTACAACAGTGCTTTCCCCCTCCTCTGCTCCTCTCCTCCTGCTGCAGCTCTGGTGCAGCGGCGACGTGTGGCGCTCCTGCTGCCTGGAAGCCGCCCGTACCTCCAACCAGCAGCAGCCCCCGTCTCCGCTACCCGGCACAAGTCCCTACCCGCCCTTACAGCAGCGCTCCGACCCCAACGTAGGGTTTCCCGCAGCCGCAGCCGCCATCACCACCACTACCACCATCACACCCTTCCCTCCCGCTGACGCCGCTACCGATGCCGCCCTATCCACCTCCGCCCCGCCCGCCGCCGCCTCTCACCCCTCCATCACAGCCGCCGCCGCCGCAGCAGCAGCAGGCTTCAGGCTGCGTTCCCAGCGTCGTGCTTCTGCCGGACCCGTCTTGGTCGACCACTCGTTTACTTCCGGAAGCCCGGCAGGAGGCAGTTTCGGAGCCGCGACAGCACCTCCAAGGCCGTTAGGAGGCAGCGGCGGCGGTGGGGGGAGCATGACGGCGGGTGGCCGGGCGTTGGGAGGCAGAGTGGGCGCCGGAGAGGGCGGAGGAGGAGCAGCAGCAGCGGGCGAGGCGTTCGGCTGGGGTGTACTTCCTGAGGCGTATGCTCCGCTGGCTGCTCGCTACCAGGGACGGCATGTGCTCAAGGGGCTGTCGGAGCCGCTGGAGCTCTGGTGCTGCCGGTGAGGGGGAGGGAGACAGGGGCGGCAAGGAAGCAGGGAATTGGGGTGGAGTGACATGTGTTGTGTTGGCCCCTTGGCCCACGGCACCCGGCCCCATTGTTGATTGTTGACATGTTAATGCGATACGTCTTTTACCACCCCCGTGTCCCTGTTGCCTGGTCGAAAAGGCGTCTGAAATGATACATAATAAGTAGATGCCTTTTCTGCTGCTCACTCCATATCCTCACGTAATCATCCTCGCGTGGGCACCCTGCCTCCGCCCTCTCTGCTCCCTCGCACGGCCTCCTACTCACAATAACCTGCAGCGACGCTGACAACCCTTCCTCCCTCCCTTCCTTCCCCACTAGCTTCGAGATGGGACCCATCTACGGCCGCGCCTCGCCGGCCTCTCCCTGTCACCGGCCTCAGCCGCAACTCCACAGCAGCAACCCCCACCGCACTGGCAGCGGCATCAGGAGCACCGCCGGCTCTGTCTCGCCATTGCCCCCCTCCCCCTCTGACCAGCAGCAACAGCAAGCAGACAGGGCCAGCTCCTATTGGGAGAGGGCGAGCTCTGGAGAAGGCAGTGAAGGCAAGCGGCTGCGTGCACTCAGTTCGCACTACCACCTGCCCATGCGTCGGGACTTGACGGCCGCGCCGCAGCAGCTCTACCAGCAGCAAGACCATCAGCATCAGCTTCAACAGGAACAAGCGGAGGAGCAGCAGAAGCAGGAACAGGGAGAGGGATCCCCGGGTGCAGAGCAGGGGCGCCATGCACAGCAGCCGGAGACGTTTGCCATGCGTGTGATGGGCGGCGGGGTCGTTAAGGCTGGGGGATTCCACAGGTACTACCACCGAAACAGTGGCGACATGGCCGCGTTGTGGGAGTTCCAGAAGCAGCATTCGCAAGGAGAGTGTGACGTGGGCAGCGGGCCTTCGGATGCTGGGTTCGTAAGGACGTCCGGGGCGAGGATATTGGCGGGTGCGGCTT